TTAATTATTATATATATATATATATATATATATATATATATTGGATGTGAAATTCTCTTCGACTACCTATTTCTATAGATTTTAAACCCTCTTATTGAAAATCTTAGCTCCGCTTCTGAGGTGAGCACTACATTCAACCATGAATAACATCATCTAATTAAAATGCCGCAACGATTATATACTATAGTTAGGCAGGGGCGGAGCTAGATAGAGTTAGGGTTCATTCGATTCCCTTTCAGCAGAAAATATTATTATTCATACGTGGTAAAAATTATTTTTTACATATATATATAGTAGATGTCGAACCTCCTTTGATTAGTTCGTAGTTTACTTCTTAAGAATTTGACCCCTCTATTAAAAATCCTAGCTTTGCCACTGTTTAAATAGATAAAGTTGAGGAATTCATTCGAATTATTTACAACAGAAAATAATAATATTCTTACACCAATAAAATTATTTCTTATAGTGAAATTAGGAATTACTTATTATTTTCTCAATTTCAATTTGTTCATCTGGTAATTTGCACAGGAAGACATAACTCTCAACCTACAACTGACAAATGACAACTCTTTCATTTTGTCTTCTTCTTTTTAACTTGCATTAGCTTCCTGGTTATATTAATTTAACAAGTTCTAGAAGCATTCTAGACGGAGTTGGTTTATAGAAGTTTCCTGAAGGTGCCACACACTAATATGTTGTGTTTCACACATAATAATTAAAAAAATCATTAAAAAAAAATAAAAGACTGTGTATGTGTATGACTTGAGTCTGACCTCTGCATGATAGACATACTACACTGCACTTATTAGATGAAACTCGAACTCAAGTCCGGCTCCAAAATAAACACTTTTTAATAAATAAAAAAAACATAGACTAAAATGGATATTTCGCTCATTTATGAACAAACTGTGATAAACAAAGTTAACTAAACCCCAAAACTCAACTTCACAAAAAGAATTTGATATCACTTAGCTATGTTATGAACAAGGAAAGTTCACAACACAACAAAGTGAGAAATGAAAAGAACTTTTCAAAACAAATCAAGTTGCACAGAGAACAAACAAATCACAGCAAAAGAAATCATTCATGTGCTTGAAAAGGCGATGCTCCACCAAAAACTTGGTTGAGCATGGAATCCACCAATTGTACATTCAAATAAACTAAAGTTGACAAACTAATGATCTCATAGCTTTCAAAGTTAGAAGAGCTATGAAATTCAATAACAGTACAAAGTTTTCAGATTTGAACTAGTAACGACTAAAAACTACTGACTTTTCCCCAAATAAAAACTTAAAACATCTTTATATTATTTTAGTTTCTTCATTTTGACAAATGCTGTGAGTGCACTGGCGTCAATGAGCTATCTAAGGCAACTTCTAATGCTTGGACTCTGCTTGTGCGAGCATGTCACCTTCATTGTCCACAAGTTGCTTTTTCTCAGTGATCGTTTCACCACCAACATCAGATGCATCCTCCATCTTATCTGGAATGGAAATATCCAGGGACTCACCGTCACTCTTTTGGGTTTTACTTTTGAACCTGAAGATAGAAAGCCTACTCGTCAATACCCTCAAACATTTAAATCAAAGAGCAACACTGCACGGAAAAGTGTAGAACAGCAAAATTATAATAACCTTTTGGATGAAGATGCTCCTTGTTCCTTTTTGGTTGAGGGGGTTCTTCTTGTTCTCTTCTTCTTGGGTCTGCTCAAGTTCAATGAATTACCATATCATATGAAAACAAATAGTTGTGGCTAATCAAGGCGATGCGAAATACAATATCTAACATAAAAGTTGTAGGTAAAATAAACATGAAAAACAAGAGTCAAGAACAAGTAAAGAACTAGGACATGTCCACGGTCAGGAAGTTTAGAAATCAATACTTACAGAGAAGATGGAACATCATTGCTTTGAGGACCTGTATCATGATTCTGTACATATTGAATCCAAAAAAGGAATCATATCAGAATGGTGTATAATGCCAATGATGATTTGAAAATATGTTAAGAGATAACAGATGGAGAAAGGACCTTGTCAGATGGTTGGATTTCAAACGCCACTGAGCTCTCAAAGGCAACTTGTTCCTTGTCCACGAGTTCTTTTATCCCACTGCTTGTTTCGCAACCAACATCAGCAGCATCATTCAACCTACCCGGAGTTGGAGTATCCAGGGATTCAACGCAACTCTCTTTGGGTTTTGTTTTAGACCTGAAGATAGAAAACCAACTTGTCAAAACCGTCAGAACATTCAGCTTAGAGAGCAATACTACAGGCAAAAAAGTACAACGACAAAAGAACCTTTTGGATGATGAGACTCCAGGTTCCTTTTTTGTTAAGGGGGTTCTTCTTATTCTCTTCTTCTTGGATCTGCTCAAGTTCATAACCAATAACCATATCATGTCAAAGCAATGGCAGTGACATATCAAGGTGATGTAGAAAACAATCTTTAACATAAAACTAGTAGGTAGAAATAAACAGAAAAGATGACAGTCCAAGAACAAGTAAAGAACTAGGATTATGTTCAAGGTTACAAGTTATGGAGAAAATCAATACTTACGGAACAGATGAAGCATCATTGCTTTGAGGACCTGTCTCGGGATTCTGTACATATTGAATTCAAAAAAGGAATCATATCAGAATGGTGTATAATGCCAATGATGATCTGAAAATATATTAAGAGATAACATAGTATCAGATGGAGAAAGGACCTTGTCAGATGGTTGGCTTTCAAGCCCCAGTGAGCTCTCAAAGGCAACTTGTTCCTTGTCCACGAGTTCTTTTACCCCACTGCTTGTTTCGCAACCAACATCAGCAGCAGCATTCATCTTACCCAGAGTTGAAATATCCAGGGATTCAACGCAAATCCTTTTGGGTTTTCCTTTAGCCCTGAAGATAGAAAACCAACTTGTCAAAACCGTCAGAACATTCAGTTTAGAGAGCAATACCACAGGCAAAAATAAACAACGACAAAAGAACCTTTTGGATGACGAGACTCCAGGTTCCTTTTTTGTTGAGGGGGTTCTTTTAGTTCTCTTCTTCATTGATCTGCTCAAGTTCAATGAATAACCATATCATGTCAAAACAATGGTAGTGACATATCAAGTTGATGTAAAAACAATTTTTAACATAAAACTGGTAGGTAGAAATAAACAGAAAAGATGACAGTCCAAGAACATGTAAAGAACTAGGATTATGTTCAAGGTTACAAATTATGGAGAAAATCAATACTTACGGAACAGATGAAGCATCATTGCTTTGAGGACCTGTCTCGGGATTCTGTACATATTGAATTCAAAAAAGGAATCATATCAGAATGGTGTATAATGCCAATGATGATCTGAAAATATATTAAGAGATAACATAGTATCAGATGGAGAAAGGACCTTGTCAGATGGTTGGCTTTCAAGCGCCAGTGAGCTCTCAAAGGCAACTTGTTCCTTGTCCACGAGTTCTTTTACCCCACTGCTTGTTTCGCAACCAACATCAGCAGCAGCATTCATCTTTCCCAGAGTTGGAATATCCAGGGATTCAACGCAAATCTTTTTCGGTTTTCCTTTAGCCCTGAAGATAGAAAACCAACTTATCAAAACCGTCAGAACATTCAGTTTAGAGAGCAATACCACAGGCAAAAATAAACAACGACAAAAGAACCTTTTGGATGACGAGACTCCAGGTTCCTTTTTTGTAGAGGGGGTTCTTTTAGTTCTCTTCTTCATTGATCTGCTCAAGTTAAATGAATAACCATATCATGTTAAAACAATGGTAGTGACATATCAAGGTGATGTAAAAACAATTTTTAACATAAAACTGGTAGGTAGAAATAAACAGAAAAGATGACAGTCCAAGAACATGTAAAGAACTAGGATTATGTTCAAGGTTACAATTTATGGAGAAAATCAATACTTACGGAACAGATGAAGCATCATTGCTTTGAGGACCTGTCTCGTGACTCTGTACATATTGAATCCAAAAAAGGAATCATATCAGAATGGTGTATAATGCCAATGATGATTTGAAAATATGTTAAGAGATAACAGATGGAGAAAGGACCTTGTCAGATGGTTGGATTTCAAACGCCAGTGAGCTCTCAAAGGCAACTTGTTCCTTGTCCACGAGTTCTTTTATCCCACTGCTTGTTTCGCAACTAACATCAGCAGCAGCATTCATCTTACCCAGAGTTGGAATATCCAGGGATTCAACGCAAATCATTTTGGGTTTTCCTTTAGCCCTGAAGATAGAAAACCAACTTATCAAAACCGTCAACATTCAGTTTAGAGAGCAATACTACAGGCAAAAATAAACAACGACAAAAGAACCTTTTGGATGACGAGACTCCAGGTTCCTTTTTTGTTGAGGGGGTTCTTTTAGTTCTCTTCCTCATTGATCTGCTCAAGTTAAATGAATAACCATATCATGTCAAAACAATGGTAGTGACATATCAAGGTGATGTAAAAACAATTTTTAAGAACATGTAAAGAACTAGGATTATGTTCAAGGTTACAAGTCAATGGAGAAAATCAATACTTACGGAACAGATGAAGCATCATTGCTTTGAGGACCTGTCTCGTGATTCTGTACATATTGAATCCAAAAAAGGAATCATATCAGAATGGTGTATAATGCCAATGATGATTTGAAAATATGTTAAGAGATAATAGATGGAGAAAGGACCTTGTCAGATGGTTGGATTTCAATCGCCACTGAGCTCTCAAAGGCAACTTGTTCCTTGTCCACGAGTTCTTTTATCCCACTGCTTGTTTCGCAACCAACATCAGCAGCATCATTCAACCTACCCGGAGTTGGAGTATCCAGGGATTCAACGCAACTCTCTTTGGGTTTTGTTTTAGACCTGAAGATAGAAAACCAACTTGTCCAAACCGTCAGAACGTTCAGTTTAGAGAGCAATACTACAGGCAAAAAAGTACAACGACAAAAGAACCTTTTGGATGACGAGACTCCAGGTTCCTTTTTTGTTAAGGGGGTTCTTCTTATTCTCTTCTTCTTGGATCTGCTCAAGTTCATAACCAATAACCATATCATGTCAAAACAATGGTAGTGACATATCAAGTTGATGTAAAAAACAATAACATAAAACTAGTAGGTAGAAATAAACAGAAAAGATGTCAGTCCAAGAACATGTAAAGAACTAGGATTATGTTCAAGGTTACAAGTTATGGAGAAATCAATACTTACGGAACAGATGAAGCATCATTGCTTTGAAGATCTAGTTCATGCGTCTGTAAATATTGCATCCAAAAGAATTTGTATCACAAAGATATATAATGTGAAAAAATGTTAAAAGATAACACAGTATCAGATGGAGAAAGGACCTTGTCAGATGAATGGACTTCAAACGCCGATGAGCTCTCAACAGAAACTTTGGAAGTCTTGGATCTCCATTTCTGTGTGATATCATTATCTTCCTTCTGCACAAGTTCTTTTTTCCCACTGCTCGTTTCACAACCAACGTCATCAGCATCATTCATCTTATCTGGAATTGGAATACCCATGGAACCAATGTCACCCTTTTGGGGATTTCTTTTGGACCTGAAGATAGAAAAACTGCTTGTCAAAACCTTCAGAGCATTCAGTTCAGAGAGAAATAATACAGGGAAAAGTGGCAACAACAAAAGAACAACCTTTTGGATGATGAGACTCCGGGTTCCTTTTTTATTGAGGAGGTTCCTTTTGCCTTCTTTTTCATGGATCTGCTCAAGTTCATGAATTAATAACCATATCATGTCAAAACAATAGTAGTGAAAAACAACAGCCAAAAACATGAAAGAGGACAGTCAAGAATATGTAAAGAGCTAGGATTATGTCCAAGGTTACAAGGAAATTGAGAAATCAATACTTACAGAATAGCTGAAACATCATGGCTTTGAAGATCTGTTTCATGCTTCTGTACATATTGCACCAAAAGAAATGTTTCATAACGATATATAACGCCAATTATAATTTCAAAACATGTTAAGAAATAACACAGTATCAGATGATGAAAGGACCTCGTCAGATGGATGGTCTTCACGCGTCAATGAGCTCTCTAAGGCAATTTTGCTAGTCTCGAGTCTCTGATTCTGTGTGGTATCTTTATCTTCCTTGTCCACAAGTTCTTTTTTCCCACTGCTTGTTTCACAACCAACTTCAGCATTCATCTTATCTGGAATTGGAATATCCATGGACCCAAAGTCACACTTTTGGGGATTACTTTTAGACCTGAAAACAGAAAACGTGCTTGTTAAAACCCTAGGAAAATTCAGCTCAGAGAGCAGTACTGCAAGGAAAAGTGTAGAACAACAAAAGAACAAATGACGAGATTCCGGGTTCCTTTTTCATTGAGGAGGTTCTTTTTGCTGTCTTCTTTGTGGATCTGCTCAAGTTCATCAACCAATAACCATATCATATCCCGACAATAGTGTTGGCATATCAAGGTGATGCAAAATACAATCTCTATCATAAAAGTAGGAGCTAGGTAGAAGTAAACACGACTGTCAAGAATATGTAGAGTCTAGGATATGTGCAAATTTTTTTTATTGGAAATCAATACTTACGGAACAGATGAAACAGCATTGCATTGAAGATCCGCTTCATGTTTCTGCACAGAATGCATCCAAAAGAATCATATCACAAAGATGTAATGCCAATAATATCTTGAAGTTGTTAAGAAATACAGTATCAAATGGGGAAAATACCTTGTCAGATGGATTGTCTTCAAGAAACTCAAACTGCTCCTTATTCAGATTCAAGATTTCCGTTTCACCATCATCATATGCAATCTCAAAAGGAAAAACAGCAAATAGCATCAGTCAACTAAAAACTTCAGTTAAATACACTACTTCCCTTCCATGATATATTTCCCTTGTTTGCAGTTTTAGCACGACGACTGTTTTCCAGAAAGATGTCTTTTAGGCTGTGTAAGGCCATTATATCAATAGGTAAAAGGGACTTCTGTTGCAGTGATTATATTTGGTTTGAAAATAGTTTTGCCTCTACTTATCAGGAAGATGGAGTCAACCTCAGTATATAGTTTGCCTCAACATTACTTAGCAGGAAGATGGAATCAGCTAGACTTGCAGATATTTTGGAAATTTTAGAAGAATAGTAACAAATATAGCATTTGAAAGTAGTCTCAAGTTGAATTGATAAAGAATATGGATTCATACTGACTACTGATGATGAATTTTTTGAGACTTGGGAATGGTGTATAAATTCTTGTCATTATTAAAAGAAATATCAGAACATTGCAAAGTGAAACATATATGATATGCTGGGAAGAAAACTGTACAGAGACTAATTAAAAAACAGTGCAGGAAGCTTGATAATAACGTCACTACCTGATGCCTCTTGTTCACATGATCAAATCCAGAAACTGCACCCTCATAGAACCTGCAAAGGGAAACTTAAAATCAAAAACTTCAGCTAGATTCTTTATTTTTTTCTTTTTTTTCTCCTTTTTTTTTTTGAGAGAGAGAGAGAGATGGTAAGTGTGCTATTAATATAAGTACCAAGAAGGTGCAGGCAAAAGTATTTACAAGATACTAAAAGAACATCCTTGCTATTCTTAGAGGAATTCTATGAGATCTATCACTGTTTAGCTAGAATTCTTTCTTCCATTTGCAAGACACGATAAAAGTCAATTTAGTAGAAGCAATTGAAGATGTGCTCTGACACTCCACAAATCAAAGGAATGAAGCAGACTCTTGGTGACAGCCTAGCAGGCAAGCCAATTTTAGAGATGATAAACTTAACAATAGAAGGAATCAAGGATGAAAAATGCTGGGATGAGAGTGGATCAGTAATTAGTACCACAAATTTACAATAGTATGATAGTCCTGACAACATTCTGTACAACTTACATTTTGTCCAATGGCCACCAAACTCTTATTCTGGTACCAACTATTTCTTCTCCATATTTTTTGGTGAACTGACGCCTTTTAAAATCCTGAATGAAGCAATTAAGAACCATAAACTTCTCAGACATGAAAATACTCTTAGACAACAGGTAAATTAAAAGCAAAAGGGCTTAAACAAATACTAGTTTCAGTCCTTTGAACTGTATTGAAAAGAGGTAAGCATAGCGTTTTCCGAATTCAAGGAGAATAAAGCAGCTTATAACAATCCTTTGAAAAAGTAATGAAGTCACAGAATTTGGAAACATACTACATTCAACAAATACTACGTGAACACAAGAAAACTCGGGAAATATTGCAGATATGGAAACAAAAAATTACAGTTTACTTCAAAAGTTGCTATATTAGTACCTGATTCTTTCTTGCGGTAAGCTTCCTCCGAAACTTTGTCTTGAAAAGTTGGCTGGAGAGATTTCCATCCCCAAATGATGGTTTAATCTCCTGTAAAACCCACAAGCACAAAGGGAAAAGTAAAAAAGAATAGTGATTGTCAAATTTGTGCTTGAAAAAAATTATAAGCATAGATCGAGAGATAGCAACTTCTAAGAAGTCGTCCTTTCAACCTCATTTCCTGATTCTTCTATATCATGAATCTCTTTCTTCTGTTTCTGTTCATCAATTTGTTGCACTGATGACTCCTCAGCGTGAGTAAGGTTCTCTTCTCTTTTTACAATGTTAAGACCAGAAGTGGTGTCCACATCACCTTCCGGAACAGATCCTCTCTTCCTTGAGCTCTGACGTGGTTTTCTTTTGCTACCGGATTTGATCTTACAATTGCTAACACCAATATTCTTTGGCTGCTCCATCTGGCTGCAAGGCTGTAATGTTTTTGAAGAGGTGCCATTATTATTAGAAGGCGGCCCATCCTCCAGCAGTGTCTCACAGATAACAGCAGCAGATGGACCAACTTTTTCAGTAGTCACATTTTCATTTTCCATCTGACCATAAAACTAATGTTAGCAAAAAAGGAAAAGAACAGCTGCATACAAAAAGATGTCATAAGTAGGACACACCAATTGTTCTCCCTTGGGCATTTCATTGCAAATATAGGCAATGATTTCCGCATGATCATTAAGATCCATGCTTCTTGATTTGAGGGCTTTGAGAAGACAAGGTCTAACGGTGGAAGCACATTTTTTCAAGACCTTCTCTCCCAACTTTGACGAGATAGGTGACAAAATCTGTACAGTATAAAAGATTGAGTAAAGCACTAAAGAAACATGATTAACAGAAGATCAATTGGATGAGCTTTACTACCTGATTTTCCTTTCTGAGGCTATCAAGAAGGGGCTGAAGAAGCTCCATATTGATTTCATCACTTTCTTCAATGAGCAGAACCATGATTATTTCCATGCTTGTGAATACAATATCAGGATGGTCGGCCCTTGAAAAAAATACAGCATCAAACATAAGCATTCATCAAAGGAAACTTATGCATGATAATCTTATAATCATTTGCTGGGGGAAATGGCATAGTTGTATGATGCCAAACAATTTCCAACATGCATAAATGTGTCAAACAAAGATGTGCAAGAACTAAAGTATCAAAAATAGTTAAATATTTCCTTGTTACCTGATGATCCTGAGAAACATCCGGATTATCTCTACAACCAATGCATGACAGTCAAGGTCCAGCATTATTAAGCAGGCCTTGACTTCTGCCACAGTTTCCAGTACATTCACAGCCTTCTGATAACGGGGGCCTGAATGAGACAGCTCTTCAAATGTTCTTACTGTAAGCTGGAAAATCTCCTGAGGTTTTTCAAAATACAAGTGTGTGAAAAACAAATGGAAATGGATATAAAGTTTGAGCAAGAGGCATTAGCAATCTAGTTTCTCTCTCTCTCTCTTTAGCGCGTGTGTGTTATGTGTTGTAGGAAAATAGAACAACAAACTAGAATGTTATATCCTGGATACCTTCATTAGTTCATCATCATAAGGCTGCTGCGGAGCAGATATTCTAGAGATCTCGTAGATACAAGATATGACAGAAACTATGACATCTGCATCAGTGTGCTTTAGAAGCTCACTTCTGACCACAGCTTCCATTACTGGTAGAAGGGCATCCTTAATCGAATCGGCAGGGGCTTGAGCTACCCTTATCAACAGAGATTCTAATTCCTAAAAGATACAAGAAGTAAAAGTGAGTCAACTTGCAGCTTCCATAAATTACTGAAAATGAGCAAACAGCTTTAGGAAATTACAATCCCAGTGAATAAAGATTAAGTCGTGAACATGTAGAAATTGCTCTATGTTGGAATTCATGTACTTCCCTTTTTATTTTAATTCCAAAATCATTACACCAAAACCACATTTTCCACTTTCATTCCTCCATTGCTGGTTCAACACCATGTCATTTATAAAGTTAAGAACAAAAAAACCTTCTATTTGGAGATAAACATTCATCCAGATATATAAGGAAAACCGGCATCAAATTTATCCAACAAACAACCCTTCCCCTAAAAAGCTTTTTGTTATCAAGATAGAATCAATCTACTATAATAGGGCACAAAAAGAGGCAAAAACACACACATTTACTAGATTAAGAACAAAAGGCTTCTATTTGGAAACAAAAAAGCATCCTGATACATAAAAGAAAACCAGGCGTCAAATTTATCTAACAGACAATCCTTCCCCTAAAAGATTCTTATAGTTATCAAGAAAATATCAATCTAATATATAGGGCACAAAAAGAGGCAAAACACACAGATTTACTAGATTAAGAACAAAAGGCTTCAATTTGGAGACAAAAAAGCATCCTAATACATGAGGAAAATCAAGCATCAAATGTATCTAACAAACAACCCTTCCCCTAAAAAATTCTTATAGTTATCAAGATAAAATCAATCTAATATATAGGGCACAAAAAGAGGCAAAAACACACAGATTTACTAGATTAAGAACAAGAGGCTTCTATTTGGAAACAAAAAAGCATCCTGATACATAAAAGAAAACCAGGCGTCAAATATATCTAACAGACAATCCTTCCCCTAAAAAATTCTTACAGTTATCAAGATAAAATCAATCTAATATATAGGGCACAAAAAGAGGCAAAACACACAGATTTACTAGATTAAGAACAAAAAGCTTCAATTTGGAAACAAATCAAGCATCCTGATACATGAGGAAAACCAGGCATCAAATGTATCTAACAAACAACCCTTCTCCTAAAAAATTCTTATAGTTATCACAATAAAATCAATCTAATATATAGGGCACAACAAGAGGCAAAACACACAGATTCACTAGATTAAGAACACAAAGCTTCAATTTGGAAACAAAAAGAGCATCCTGATACATGAGGAAAATCAGGCATCAAATGTATCTAACAAACAACCCTTCCTTCCCCTAAAAAGCTCTTCCTGTTATCAAGATAAAATCAATCAAAATTAATAGGGCACAAAAACACACAGATAAAACTGGTACTTTATAAGTAAAGAACATGAAAAAAGATAAAAAAGTTAAGAACTTTACATCAAGAAGAGTGATGAGCTCTTCAGTAGAATGAGGAATGTTGATGAGGCTATTGGCACAATCTTTTAGCCCATCTTCAATTTCTTTCTGGGTAGGAGAATCAGCCATTTTCACAACAGCATTCACTCTCACTGAAGAAAATCTTGTATAAAAATTTGCCCCTTTCAAGAACCCCAAAAATTAAACAACACCCTATGAAGAAAATGGAACCTCACACACACCAAATGCTGATTATATACAAGTGTTTGGAAGGACAAAATTGGCATACAAAAAACTACCCCTCCAAAACTGTAATCTCCACTGGATTCACTCACATTAAATTGGATTTTCCCCTCAAATTCACAACTTTTTTCAGGGGGGTGTTGCGTTTTTCTCGTGTTCAGACCTTCAGTTTTGCTTAATTTGTCATTTCCGCTCTACGTGTCTCTAAACAACCAAAACTAAAACTGCACAAAGACTCCAAATTCGTTGTTTCAAGAAACAACCTTTTTAAGACACAGACAAAAAACACACACACTTTATTTATTGGACAGTTTTGTCCTTCCAACATTGAACTTATATTACTTGTATTAGACGTCTTTTTCTACTTTTAAAATGTCTAAAATTGGAAAAAGAAAAGTTGAAAGTTTTATTGCATATACATTTTAGCGGCAAAACTCAAACTTTGATTTCTTTGTATTTTGTTTTTCCCTTTTCTTTATTAATTGGAAAAATTTTGCTTTGACTATTAAATTGGAATTTACTTTTACTTTCATTACATATACATTAATATAAAAGGTTAAAAAATCAAAACATTTTAGTGGCATATTAAATGTGATAAAATTATTTTTTATTAATAAAATAATTTCTTTGGAACTTATTATTATAGAATAATTATTCTTTTAAATAAAACAATTCTATTGGAAAACTTTTTTACTTTCATTGCATACACACTTGACTAGGTGTTGTTGTAATTAAGAAAGGTAAGAAAATCAGCACAGTTTAATGGCATATTAAATGTGATAAAATAATTTCTTATTATAAAAATCTATTATTTTTCTAAATAAAATAAAAATCTATTATTTTCTTAATAAAATAATTTCAATGGAACTTATTATTGTAGAGTAATTGTTATTCTAAATAAAACAATTCCAATGGAATTTAAAATAAATTGTATTTTTCGCTTGGCATTTCACATTAAATTTTCAATTAGTTTGTATTCGTAGAGGGAATCATTTCCTATTAAGATTCTTTCAAATTCAAGACTCAACTTCGAAACATCTTATTAATGATTGAAGAATCATATACATCACGTCACAATACTCTTGTTTATACTAACATTGTATAAAAAGACTAAATTTATTGAGGTAATAGATGTTTATATTAAAATTGACTAAATTTATAGAAATAATCCTATTATTTAAATTTTTTTTATAGATGTTGATGTTCTTGTTTATACTAATATAATATAAAAAGACTAAATTTATTGAGGTAATAGGCGTTTATATTAAAATTGACTAAATTTATTGAGATAATCCTATTATTTAATATTTTTTTTATAGATGTTGATTTTCTTGTTTATACTAACATAATATAAAAAGACTAAATTTATTGAGGTAACAGGTGTTTATATTAAAATTGACTAAATTTATTGAGTTAATCCTATTATTTAATTTTTTTTTATAGATGTTGATATTCTTGTTTATACTAATATAAAAAGACTAAATTTATTGAGGTAATAGGTGTTTATATTAAAATTGACTAAATTTATTGAGATAATCCTATTTTTTATAGATGTTGATTTTCTTGTTTATACTAATATAATATAAAAAGACTAAATTTATTGAGGTAATAGGTGTTTATATTAAAATTGACTAAATTTATTGAGATAATCCTATTATTTAATTTTTTTATAGATGTTGATTTTCTTGTTTATACTAATATAAAAAAACTTAATTTATTGAGGTAATAGGTGTTTATATTAAAATTGACTAAATTTATTGAGATAATCCTAATATTTTTTTTTTTTTATAGATGTTGATGTGGGTAGGGGTGTCAATGAGTTAATAAATATGTCATTTCAATTTTTTGGATATTTTATAATGTATAACAAAAATTATATTTTTTTAAAATCATCCCAACATATCGATTTTTATTCAGCATAGGTTCGATTCATTTTTTTTTAAAAAAATATCACCTCAATATATACTATTATCAAAATATTTTTTTTCTACGTATATTCTTTAAGAAACACTTCAATTCTTCACTAAGAAGTCAAGAATGTAAAACCTTGTTGCCGTATTGTTTGATCTTAATCATTTAGTAGGATTGCATGCATAGATTTTGTCGTATTGTTTGATGGAGTATATATTATAGTCTCTTTTAATTTTAAACATAATTAAGTAAATGCTAATTAAAGAGTAAAGATCTAACGTCGACCAGTCACCATAGACCTAACACTTTTATCATATTTATATTTGAAAAATATCATAAAACATGTCTATATATTAAATTAAACATATTGGTAATATATTTTATATATTTACATATTATTCGTTTCAGTTTGAAAAATTTTCAATTTTTTTTATAAAATAAAAAGACCACTTCTATTGTTCGGAAAAATTATACACTTAAATAAGAATCCACGATCTTATTAAAAACATATAAATTAGTTCGATTAGATTTGAACGATACAACATCAATTATCAGTTCTAATAAAAAAATCATAAAGATTAGTAATTCTAAAATTTTGAACTTCGTCTTCTTCATCATTTCCTTCCTTTGAATCTTCAATTTTCAAGTTTGTTCTTCTTTTTTTTTCTTTGCAAAATGGCGAACGTCGCAATATTATTGAAAAAAACTCTCAGTTTTATAACGTGTATTTGGAATAAATAATGTATACATCATTGTTAAAATTAACGATATGGTGTTTAGTAGTAATAATTTGCGTAACATGTATAATTTATTATGCATGTATTTCGAAACCGTTGGAAGTATTTGTATATATATAGAATTCAGGATAATATTAAATGCATAAGTTGTATCTTATATACTTAAGCATGTATCTCACAGCCTCAACGATTATAACTAAGTCAGTAGAATACATGACAAAACTGATATACATCAAAATCGACCATCAATTACATCTAAAAAATCATGTAAAAGATCAATCACTTAAATAATAGATGAATAATATAAAGATACCTCACAATCACATTTTATCTTCTATGGTTGAAGAAAAAATACAATTGAATGATTATTGATTACAATTTTTTTGAATCATTGTGTTGCTCAAATTGTGCATTTGTGGTTGTTGTATAGTAGAACGGGGAGAGGGGGAGTCGTGCTCATTTTCTATCCGGGCACGAGCAGGAACATTCAAAATAATGGAAAGGCGAATACATTCATTCTAGCAACAATGGAGAATCGGTAATGATGGTGAAGAACGTGGTTGGAGAGAAGGGAAGAAGATGAGAATTGAATAGTTAATATCGCCTTTACTTTAAATTTTAAGATTTGTGTATCTAATTATACTTTATAAAATATATGGTATAATTTTTAAAAAGTTATATTATGAGTAATATTTTTAAACTACAGGTAAAAATATGCATACATGATAATTAAGTATATCTAATTATGTAGTTTAATGTATTAACAAAGAATGTTAACGAATTAATTTTGTTAAGAAATCAATGTCTTGCTCTACACAATTTGAAAGGCATCAAATCATAGCTGCCATACAGTTTGATGGAGGAGGATTGATATCGATATGGTATTGTGATTTACTTTATATAAATATCATTTTGTACATTCTTAAATGTGATTAAGAATGATATTTAAATGTAATATTATAGCCAAATAGAAAATGTAAGTATAATTATCTCAAGCACTACAACAAAACAAAGAAAAGCAGACTATGATCAGCTTTGAACTTGATATTCACTCAAAATATTAAGGCATCGACTGTCAGTCACGCCCAGGATCAAGGCTCGGGGTATGACAACCAACCAGATACATCTGCTTTAACAATATTGTTTTTAACTCGTCATATTTAAATATTTACCTACCTTCTGCAATTGACATATCATAACTGAGGCTCATGCATATGCAATATATCTAAGAAAATCATAAAAAATTGTATGAGTTGTACTTGCCTTAAGTATGCTATCATTATATGGTTAATCTGCAGCTGTAATTCTCATGATCTCACTGATGCAAGATGTAATTGACACCTTCACATCCATGTCAGGATGTCGTAGAAGCCCATCTGCAACTAGTGCTTCCATTGCAGGCCGAAAAGTATACCGCGTCGATACGGAGAGGATTTGCTTCACCAGTGACAAAAAATGCTCTAACTTCTGAAAATTGCATATACCAAAAAGAAGTGATTGAACCATGTCAAATACATTGAAAATACTTCTCTAGATAACAAATGAAGTCTAGATCAGGATATTTTGTAAAAAATAAAGATTTAAGTTCGAAACTACATCACTAGGTCAAACATCTCTATCTTTCTCTCCACATTTTTATTTCCTTTCATCCAACATGAAGCCTGATTATGTCCTTTACACAACAAAAATTAAACAAAGACATAGATAATTGACTTCCAGGACCAGTATATAAGCAATGGAACAAGGAAATCCTAAGTTATATGCAGAGAACATGATAGCAGATATCACAAGTGATGCAATCATAAACATATCTTTTAATTACTAGAATGTCCTTAATAAGAAATAGACCTCTTATAGGAGATGATCTTTCACTAGAATTGCTTATAGGATCATTTTTTACAAGACGGGGATCAAAATCACACTTCTAAGGTGAAAAATTAGGCAATAAACCAACCAAACTACTAGAAATTTTCAAATAACGTGATTATTTTATCCTAGGATTAAGTAACAATTGTTGACCAGAACCAGAAATAAATTTCAACCATTTTAGGAAGTTAGTTATAATTTTTCAGAATCTCATAGATAAAATTGATCCCCTTGGCTACTACGTACTTTTCACTTTGTAGGTTTAAGAAGATGGAAAGAGAAAAGAATCTCAACAACTTTGAACCATCAGTATTTGTACAAAAGGACAAGAGAGAAAAGAGGGATTATATGAAAATTTGAGGCATTAGGAATTAACCCTTTGCAAGGTTACCGAAATTTTTTCAAAGTGTGTGAGTATAATTGAGGCTGTCTTAACTGCGCAATTTTCAGGTTTCCCTCTTAAAATTGTTTTCAATAAAGGGAATTCGCTTCTAAGGATATACTTAAAAAGTTCTGCTTGGATTACAGTGATCTTTTTGATAAAAATAAAAATAAAAAAATAGATAAAATATTACAATAATCTGAACAGATTAACTTTTCTTTGACCTTTTTGTTATTTCATTTTAATCTTTCCTCCCTACTTTTTCTTGGACACATCTGCTATGAATGAATACACCCAAAAGTCAAAAGAAATATAAAGACAATGATAACAATATTAAACTATCAGTCTTAGATCATTCATTTTTATTTTGAACTGGAGAGAGTAATGTTTATGGGAGTAACTATATCAACCTTTTTTTTAATAAAAAATGAGATCTCTTGGCGACAAATTGAATAGAAGAAAATGACTTTTTCATATTTAAACATGATGATTTCTATAGAAAGACGATAAAACTAAAATAATTTATAAGTGACTTACGAAACTAATTCTCCCTAAACTTCAAGGCTTCTAATAGGAAATGTTATCGAAGAAGAAAACTAGATTTTGTAATGTAATCTATCTCTGGGTATCTGAATACCCATATATATTTGCATCGGGTCTTTTTGAAATAGAGTAGTGGAATGTCATCAAAACTGTTACAGCCCATTAAATTGAAATCTGCATATGTAAATAAAAGATTTTATTCTAAAAAGTGAATATGAAAGGAGAAACTAAGCAAAACAATTTTGTCGCTATCTAAAACTGAGAGGGTCCCCCGTATTAAAAGGTATAAAAAGGTCGAGGAATAGAGCCTCGACTCTTGTTCATAGACAGATTTCTTCAGGCGGGTTTAGCCAAAACCATCACTTCGAATTTGAAGCATGTGTAAATCTATAAAAATTATCTTTTACATGGACATGCATATATAATAAACTTACGAAAGCAAATATATTACGAGGTTTTAACCAAACTAAGCCATTATATAAAGTCATTCACCAAAATAATATGTTTTTCTAAAATTTTACAAAACTAGTATAAACGTATTCCACAGTAACGTTTTAGGATATATTTTATTTTTTAAAAGTTGATGGCGTCAGATTGATATACGTTACTCACAGTAACGTTTTAAAAGTAAAACGTTACTTACAGTGACGTATATCAACCTAATATTGTTAGTTTTTAAAAAATAAAATATATCCTAAAACATTACCATGAAATACGTTTATACTAGTTTTGTAAAATTTTAGAAAAATGTATTACTTTGATAAATTGTTTTGTATAATGACTTAGTTTGGTTAAAAATTCATACTCACATGCATGTACGCATAAGTTGCCTTTCTTGTAAACACTTTTCACGAACAGGTGGAAAGACCACACACATAATGATCATGTTGTATCATCCCATGCTTCCCTGATATCTCAAGATTGACAGACTCTGCATCTGAGATAGTGTTATGCATCTGGACAGTTTTATTTCCGTAGTTCATTAATACTTCAAAACGAAAAAAAAAAAAACTTCAGTACAAACATAAAACTATTTTGTTGATTTATTGTTCGCATACATTGTTGAAATGGTTCAGGAGATATCAATATTTTTTCCTAAAGAAGGAATATTGCATAACATACTTTACCCAAGGAGTAACAGAAGTAACTGTAAACCCTCATGAGTTACCTACTCCTCCTTTAAATTTCAAGAATAGAAGAAAGCGTTGTCATCTGTTTGGAAAAAAATGAATGGCGGGAACGTACCTTTTGGCTTCATAATTTAGTTATCTTTGTTTGGTATGACATGGTTATTTGGTTGGGAACAAGTTATTCCTAAATTAGCTGTACTAAATAACTTATTTCACCAGATAACTTATCCTATTACTATGATATAAGTGGAATTTTATTCCGACGATTGTTTGGTTGGGAGCATTTTGTTGTTTATTATATGTCGCTTATAATTAATGCTAAGGATATATTAGGAACTAATAAGTGTGAATTTGTCCATTATATGAAAATTTATCTACAAATTTCATATAATGGACAAGTATTGTTGGACGGATGGAGTAACAAATATTTCTTTCTTGGGTTTTACAAGTCCAATAGCTAGTCTCATGTAACTTTCTTGGATGCTCAATGATGTTATTGTGGGTTTTGAGCTATACAATTAGTATTTGAGCGATGAATTAATTGATTGATTGTGGATTATTGTTCTCTGTGGCATGAATTATTAAAAAACACAAGTAATGAATGTGCACAAACGATTTTATGTGTAACACTATGCAATATACATTTATGTGTTCAAGGAATCCTAAATATTGGTGGAGGAGGATATTCAAACTTAAAAAGTTCATCTAATACATGTTATAGATTTACTTGTATACATCATTCCAGAAATCAAACTTAAAAAGTTCATCTAATACATGTTATAGATTTACTTGGCAATAGTGTTCAAGAAAAGTAGCAAGGATAAAACAGCTCTACAAAAGCTTATTTAACCTACTTACTCGATACTGTGCTTGATCCTAAACCTCCTTTATGTCCTGCTAAACTTTTTCACACACTGTTTCAAGAACTCTGACAGACCTTTCCACCTGTCCTGCTCGGCTTTGGGCCTCTTGCAAGCGCTTTTCAGCCTTTTTTGAGCCGTTCCTCTGCAGCGAAGACCTTCCTATTCCTTTCTAATATGTCCTTTTCAGCTACTATAGACACTAGCATGGTAGTCTTACCTCCATCAAATCCGATAATTTCTTCTCCATATCTCCCTCTTCTGAAATCTGATCCAGACACTGCTGCAGCCAAGTTACATCAAGTTTGACCCTCGCTGCAGCAGAAAGCGAAATTCTCATATCGTTGATCGAAGTAGAGCCAACGTCACCGGTTTTCAGCCTCCTTACAACATCACAAACTATATCAAGAACGGAAGCTCTGAAAGCCAATGATTTATAGTGACAATTGACTGCAATGTCACCATACTTGGCAAAAATGGCAGTGAGTATGGGACCACTGCTCACTTTTACTTTATAGCCATGCACATCAACCCTGACCCCTTTATTTTCGTGCACTCCTTTTGGAGTTAAATTATGTTGCATGGTCCTACCAAAAAAAAAAAACTTCGTTCAGCTTGAATTACATTCATTGCAATGCAAATGGGGCCTAAATGCAATATAAATAGCTTACATTGTTGAAGGAGTTGGATCATCAGTTGCTTCCCCCTGCCAAATTTTCGAGCATAGTAGACAAGTGTTATGAACTAAATATACTAAGATTATGTTTTTAGATTTCTGTCACTTCGCCATGCATGCTTTCTAGGTTTACTTTGTCTGGTGCAGTTTGCCATTCACAATGACACATTGAACACTTTAAGAGACCAAAATGGTTGTTGTGTAGGGCGAAAAAGAGTAATTTAAAAGGATTTAACAAACACTTCACTTGAATTGACATAATATTCCAAAACAAATACATTCATTCACTTTACTAAGCACTTACAGAAAGAAAGTAGACTAATATTAATAGCTGAAAGCCAGATAAAATTAATGATAACAAATGTTTACCTCTTCTTGTGACAGAAAGTACTTCCTTTTACGTTGTTTACGTTGTCTTTTACAGGCTTTAGGGAAATTGATTTCTTTGGTGTTTGAGGCGAAACCCAGTGCCTGCAGAGGAAGTCCAAATTAAGGATAAATTAAATACTTTAATTGAGTAAACATAGCTTTCGAGATGAGAACATTCACTTTAGCGTAAATAAGAAATGTCAGATGAAAATCCTAATCTATGATAAAACTTAAGTTGAAGCATAAGAAAGAAAGCTAAGCCAAGTTCCTTCAGAATAAACATAATAAGAAGATGGATCGTGTTGACTGATCCTTAATCCCTAGTTATGTGCAATGAACATATTGATAATAGTAGATATCACAATCTAGGCCCAGCTTTTAGGTTAGATAAAAAAATTTACCTTTAAAAGATCAGAAAGTAACCCAACGAACAATCAACAAAGTAAAAAAACTTAAGAACCATCCGATGTGGTATAGTATTCATTGAACGATAAGGTATCACATTATCTGGATGTTCAAGCCCTGCAATTCAATCCTAAACTAGAGGGTGTCAGCTGTATGATGTATCCTTCAGCAATTTCAGCCCCATTGAGAGAATCAGTGAATCAACCTACCGCATCCCTTATCTGGACTTTGCCCCTATTTGCTAATATAGACAAGTTTTTAATTACTAGAATATCCTGATAAAGAACTAAACCTCTTATATGAATGATACTTCACTAGGGGTTCTTATAAAAATTTCACCTTGTGCAAACCATGACAAATCTACATTACATACATAAAAAAAAGGATCATTGGTCGTTATGTACTTTGAATTATCAGATAAACAATCATGTATTTTGCAAATAAATGCAGCAATCAATTGGAATTATCAGATACACCTGTATAGAATAGCAGAAGAAAAGTATAATTAGGAAACTTTTTGCTAGCCTAAGATCGTTAACTAAGATTGGAAGATTCAACTAAAGAAGAGGAAGATAGAAAGAAGAATTTGTTTATGGGAGAACACTTCTTTGATTAGGTTGTTCTTGGTTTGCTTGGATTGATTACAAATGACTATAACATCCCTATTTTTACTAAAATAGGGATGGTTCTAGTAATTATTGTAGAAAGACATACAAGAAAATCTAGATACTTATCTTCTAAAGGACTTGTCACGATCCATTGGGCCACATAGAATCTATGTCCTAGGTGTGATCACATTTTGTTCGAGCAAACCGATGTCCGAAGAAAGAAAATCTTCCACCGAATCCAATATCTACCAAAATCAAGATTATTCTACACTTTACTCTAAGTATCTAATTATCTAGATTTTCCTTTAAGTATAAATATCAAAGATATTTATTCTACTAAATTCTAGAAAGTTCTAATAAATATCTAAGATATTTTTGTACCTTCAAAAAATCATCTTTATTTTTCACAAGACCCACCGTAGCTTTACATTTCATTGCCTCTCTCCATGTCAATTCAACAACTTCGGAATAGTTTTTAAAGGAAATGTTGAGGGCCGCCACTGCTTTTGGAAGATATGGATGAAGTTTGACAGCACTTTCTTGAAGAACTTCCTCTCCCAGCACATAAGAACGAGGCGAAACATTCTAAACCAAAATAAGACGTAATTAAAAACAATGAGAAAAAGATAGATGAATAAAGTTGTAGAGGAAAAGCAATACCTGATTTTCCTTCTTAACACTATTTATGAGGATGTTCGCAAGGATGCTCAGAAATTGCATTGGAATGTTTTCACTCTCTTTTATTATCATGGTCATTATTTCCTTGATGTCCGTGAATACTTTATCAGGGTGCTCGGGCCTTAAAATACAGGAAGAGACAAAACAGTTGTCAGCCATTCTCCAGAAGAAAAAATTGGCATATTGAGAAATTATTAGTCTTTGAACTTTATGAAGGAAAAAAGAATCCGGTAGATTTTGACATGCTATGAACCTTACCATATAAGTTCATTTATGCTGAATTCTAACATATGAAGGTACAACAATGAATATACTGCTAAAACTGTTATATAATTGATTTGTGATTAATTAGTGATAGTCGAATAATCATCACATATTATTATAAACAGGAAGCTCAAAACTTAAAAGTTAAATTACCATTTTGCTCCTCTAATAAATTAAAACTTTTATAATTTTCATATATATATATATATATATATATATATATATATATATAATCTTCTTATTCTCATTTCATAATCTTGACCTTTCAAATTTCTAACACAAATGTAAATAAAAATAAAAATGAGTAATTATTCCTCATACTTATCAGATTTCAAATCTGAATAGTCATTAACATAGAATGTTTAAGAAATTCCACATAGAATATTTAATCAGAATAACAGCCGATTGTTGAGAACTTTCAGAAAAAAATAGCAGACAAGAAAGAATATATACAAAGGGAGGGAAGATAACAATATTTATATAAACTCTCTTTAGTTGGTGCCAGCAATGAGATGGTTTCTATGCATAACAAAATTGGAAATATACCTTATACCATTGAGAAAATGTTGAAACATATGAACAATCAATGTATCTAACATGAGATCCAACATGAGCACGCTTGTTCGGTACTTTGCCAGAACTTTAATAATTGAGACAGCCTTTGAATAACAACGACCATTCAAGCAAGACAATTTCCTAAACGCCAACACTGCAAGCTCAAAAAAGTCCTGTCCACCAATTGAGCAGGAAACCAAACTATGAGAATGTATAAATGCTATGCATGTATCCAAGAAAATCATAGATGCATAAATACTACAGAATCTGAACTATCAATTACATAGCAAAATAGTTTCGTTAGAAGAAAGACTTGCAACAAGTCTGATTTCCCGTTTTGGGCAAAGAAAACTGTATGAGTTGTACTTGCCTTAAGTATGCTATCCTTATACGGTTGATCTGGAGCTGTAATTCTCATGATCTCACTGATGCAAGATGCAACTGACACCTTCACATCCATGTCAGAATGTCGTAGAAGTCCATCGGCAACTAGTTCTTTCATTGCAGGCCGAAAAGCATCTCGCGTCGATACAGAGGGGATTTGCTTCACCAGTGACAAAAGATGCTCTAACTTCTGAAAATTGCATATACCAAAAAGAGGTGATTGAACCATGTCAAATACATTGAAAATACTTCTTTACATAACAAATGAAGTCTAGATCAGGATATCTTGTAGAAAATAAAGATTAAAGTTTGAAACGCATCACAAGGTCAAACATCTCTCTCTTTCTCTCCACAGTTTTATTTCCTTTCATCCAAAACACGAAGCTTGATTATGTCCTTTACACAGCAAAAAGTAAACATAATTGACTTTCAGGACCAGTAAATAAGTAATGGCACAAGGAAATCTAATGTATGATAAACTTAAGTTGAAGGAAAGCTAGTCCTAGATTTAACTGACAATTGTTGACCAGAACCAAAAATAAATTTCAACCATTGTAGGAAGTCAGTTATAATTTTTCAGAATCTCATAGATAAAATTGAGCCCCCTTGGTTGTTACGTACTTTTCAATCCATAGGTTTAAGAAGATGAAAAGAAAAAAGAGAAGATCCTCACATCCAGTTTCTCCAGAAGCTCCTCTTTAGAAGATGGAGGCTGCTGAAGCAGCTCATTCCCAACTTCAAGAAGGCTTTTGTTGTGTTCCTCCTCAGAATCAGAAGCACGAGACAGGGAAACCATTTCCTTTTCTCACAGCAACTTTGAAACCAGGACTTAAGTTTCAAATCCCAAAAGTAATCACCAAAAGGACAACAGAAAAAAGAGGGATTTTATGGAAATTTGAGGCATTATGAATTAACTCTTTGGGCAGTTACGGAAATTTTTTCAAAGTGTGGGAGTATAATTGAGGTCGTCTTAACTGCTTATTTCAATAATAGGAATTCGCTTCCAAGGTTATACTTATAATGTTCTGCTTAGATTACAGTAATCTTTTCGATAATTTTTTTTATATAAATATTATAGTAATTTGAACATATTAATTTCTTCTTTGACCTTCTTATGTTTCATTTAATTCTTCCTCCCTATCTTTTCTTGGACACTATTGCTATAAATGAATACAGCCACACGCCTACACCCGAAGGTCAAAAGAAGATAAAGACGATGATAACAATCAGTCTTGGACCATTAATTTTATTTTGAAACTGGGAAGAGTAGTATTTATGGTAGTAACTATTTCACCTTTTTTTAATATAAAATATTACAGTTTTGAACAGATTAACTTTTTCTTTGACCTTCTTATTGTTCCATTTAATCTTTCCTCCCTATCTTATTCTTGGACACTTCTGCTACGAATGAATACAGCCACATCCAAAGGTCAAAAGAACATAAAGACGATGATAACAATATCAAGCTATCAGTCTTGGACCATTAATTTTATTTTGAAACTGGGAAGAGTAGTGTTTATGGTAGTAACTATTTCAACCTTTTTTTAATATAAAATATTACAGTTCTGAACAGATTAACTTTTTCTTTGACCTTCTTATTGTTTCATTTAATCTTTCCTCCCTATCTTATTCTTGGACAATTATGCTACGAATGAATACAGCCACACCCAAAGGTCAAAAGAACATAAAGACGATGATAAGAATAGCAAGCTATCAGTCTTGGACCATTAATTTTATTTTTGAAACTGGGAAGAGTAGTGTTTATGGTAGTAACTATTTCAATCTTTTTTTAATATAAAATATTACAGTTCTGAACATATTAACTTTTTCTTTGACCTTCTTATTGTTTCATTTAATCTTTCCTCCCTATCTTATTCTTGGACAATTATGCTACGAATGAATACAGCCACACCCAAAGGTCAACAGAACATAAACACGATGATAACAATAGCAAGCTATCAGTCTTGGACCATTAATTTTATTTTGAAACTGGGAAGAGTAGTGTTTATGGTAATAACTATTTCAACCTTTTTTTAATATAAAATTTTACAGTTCTGAACATATTAACTTTTTCTTTGACCTTCTTATTGTTTCATTTAATCTTTCCTCCCTATTTTATTCTTGGACACTTCTGCTACGAATGAATACAGCCACACCCAAAGGTCAAAAGAACATAAAGACGATGATAACAATATCAAGCTATCAGTCTTGGACCATTAATTTTATTTTGAAACTCGGAAGGGTAGTGTTTATGGTAGTAACTATATCAACCATTCTTTTATACAAAAAAATGAGATCTCTTGGCTACAAATTGAATAGAAGAAAATGACCTTTTCATATCTCTTATGTGTAAAAATGAAGATTACTATAGAGAGACAATAAATCTAAAATAATTTATAAGTGACTTACGAAACTAATTCTCCCTAAACTTCAAGCCTTCTAATAGGAAATGTTACCAAAGAAGAAAATTAGACTTTGTACTATAATCTATCTGGGTATCAGAATACCCAAATATATTTGCATCGAGTCTTTTGAAATAAAGTAGGGGAATGTCATCGGAACTGCTACAGCCCATTGAATAAAAGATTTTATTCTAAAAAGTGATTATGAAAGGAAACACTAAGTAAAATAATTACATCGCTACCTATACCTGAGAGGGTTCCCCCGTATTAAAGGGTATAAAGCAAAGAGTGTTTATATCACATATAGAATATACTGAACTAAGAAAGGTAAGAGAGAGAAAATCAGTTAACTTAAAATTTTCCATCACCCGGCTATACAAGGTCGATAAGGATAATTATCTCCACAGATTTTGTCCGGCGTTGCATCCTTATCGCAATTTAAGTTGTTCCCTAAAAAATGTTCAATAAAGTAGGAGAAGTACATAGCATATATAGTTTATGCAAAATTATGATTTCTTCCCAGGTGAGAGTACTAACCCAGCCTGCATCACAGGTCAGAGATCATGAGAGACTTAACAGTTTCATCAGCCACATAGTATTTGTGACCATAATCTTATTTTAATAGAAATACCGCCAACTAGAAGTTGTATGTATCAATTGGAAATCCTCAGTTACCTTCCCCTTTGTTTAAATCTCAAGAAAATATGATGGCAACATGAAATTCCACCCATTATAATACTGATACGGAACCCCAAGAATGAATTGACGCAGTTGCGAACAAACATATTCATGTTCTTTAAATTTCAAGAATTATTAAATCACTTGTTGGTTGCATTGATGCACTAGATAGTCATAAGGAGAGAACTGATAAGAAGATGAATAAATGAGGACGACTCCCGGGAGCGGTGTTTTTTATGGAAATAAAAACTACCACGCATTCAAAAAAAAAACACAACTAGTACGCGTTTTTTTGTCTTCTGTGTTTGTTAAGCAGTAAAGGTTGTTAATTAATAGACATTTCTCATCTTATTAGGATTAGTAAGGTAATTTAAGATTTTAGTAGTGCATTGACAAGGTGTTTTCACTCTGCGTGCAATTCATGAATCTGTTTGCAAAATCAATTTTGGTGCGAATTATTGGATTGCTTTGAAATTCATCACTAAACTTCCTTTTTTCACTTGGCTAATTACGAGGGGAGTGATCCATGGCGGAGAATCTATGGAAGAGAAGGATTACAAGAGTTAGTTTGTGTTACATGCGCAAAGATTCAGTAGAAGATGTGAACTTATTCTGCCTCTGTCTCGTCATTACATATATAAACTATTCTTGCTTCTTTTTCATAATTAAAATTTGCCATAAGAACAATCAACATTATTCAGTAGTAATGTGAACTCTCTTGCTGGTTTATTTAGTATCGGCTCTCTTGCTTGAACTTAAACATTAAAGATAATCTACTGCTACAGCATAAAGAAAACTACAACATAGGGGCCTGTTAACAAGCCCAGCCAAACCCTGAACAAAAGGAGAGAATGGTTGGAGTTGTTATATTTGGAGTTGTTATATGTGGTTTTAAAGGAACACTACTAAAGGGCTTTGCCGTATATATCCAAAATCAAGAATCACGTTAGTCTAGAGAAGTGGGACATTATGGCTTGGTCTCGTTCCAATTAAATTCAAATTAACCTTAAGACACATTTAATCGAACACTTCATAGACACGACTTTGTAAGGAAATAACTTTAATAAGAATAAGTACTCTCACCTTCTTTTTCCTTATATGACGAGATGAATCAATAATGCAACCAAGGCGCCTGCACATTCACAATTTATATAAAATACTTATCACGCACTGATAGTTCACATCGATAATTGAGAAAGAAATAGCTTCAAAGTACAGCATAAAATTTAAGAAATTCAAAATCTGACATAGTATCTTATCTCAAGCTCATAAGAAAACATAGTACTTTTAATGACTTTGTTTTTGCATTCCCAGTAGTCAGCTGATGCATTAGAAAAATTTACTGAAATCTGAACCATTATTGATTGTACAATTAACACGGAATACATTCAGCAAACATATCAAACGCCCGACATTCTTCTTTTACTGAGTTTTATTTCAGAAGTTCATTAATACTTCAAAGCGAAAAAAAAAAAAATAACTTCACTACAAACATAAAACTATTTTGTTGATTTATTGTTCACATACATCAGTGCTTGACTTTTAGTTGTTTTCAATCTACCATATAAAGAAATCCCCTATCAACAGAAATACTAAAAAGGAATTGTAAATAACTTGAAAAAGAAGTATTAACTATTCATGCCTACTGTTTTTTTTCAATAAAAAGCAAAAGAAAAGAGTAACTCCCAACCACATTCTGAAAAGGGAGGCTTGTTTGTCAGTAAATAAGGCACGCAACAAAAAGGGAAAGATCTCTATAAGCTATCCGCTTGACGAACCTTGAATCGCACACATCCAATTATGTTAATTCTCTGAAATCTGTATATCGGCATTGCAAGGTTTCTTGTTAAAGGGAGTGACGGTGCTGCAACCAAAGATCCTGATAATAACAAATCCAAATCTCCCCAAAATCAGGCTGAGCGATGGCATCTTGCAGTAGTAGCGATAAATATAGACGAGTAGCAAAGAGAAACATCATTCCTAAATATAAAAGTAACCATTTACAGAACTATAGAAAGTACTAGATACTACAATAACTGAGGCTGATGCATTATTCATATTCAGAAATTTATGACAAAGCAATTCATTCTAACAAACAAACCCTTCCCCTAAAAAGTTCTTACTGTTAAACAAAATAAAATCAATCTAATATATTAGGGCACAAAAAGAGGCAAAAACAGAGATTAAGAACAAAAAGCTTTGATTTACAGACAAAAATGCATCTTGATACATAAGAAAAACCAGGCATCAAATTTATCTAACAAACAACCCTTTCCGAAAAAAATTCATAGAACCAATCTAAATAATAGAGCACAAAAACACACACATAAAACTAGTACTTCAAATTTAAAGAAGACGAGAAAGATAATGCAACAAATGGTATTTATATACAAAATTGACATACATAAATCACTTACGTTAATTGAATTTTTTTCTCACAGCTTTTTTAGGGTGATTGTGCTTTTCTCATGTACACAGTTTGCTTAATTTCGGCATTTACACTCTACGTGTCTCTCTAAACACCAAATTCCTTGTTTCAAGAAAATGCCTTTTTAAGACACAGAAACAGAGAGACACTTTATTTATTGGACTCTTTTGTCCGTCGAACAGTGAACTTAAATTACTTTGAACGATGGTATTTTTCTATTTTACTAGATTATGAGCACGTGTTTCGCACGTGAGTGAATTTTTATAGACACGTTAGAATGACTAAAATTTTATAAAATTATATATGTAAATTGTAATAAATAATAAAATGTAACGATGACAAAATAAAATTAAAGACTTAAGGCAATAAAACGTTCATACAAAACTAAAACTAAATTGAGAAATCTAATAGAGAAAATAATTTATTATTATAAAAATCTATTATTTTTCTAAATAAAATAATTTCAATGGAAATTATTATTATAGAACTAGTTTCTGGACACGTGCCTTGCACGTGTATTCCATCTGTTTTTTTAATAAATTTGTTGAAACCATTAAAATTTTATGAAAACATGTGTGTAACGATTAGTACAAAAATACAGCAATCTCAGACAAATGTTACGACAATAATCTTTTCATAGAAAATTAAATTAAAATAGAATGAGAGAGAGAAGATATAAAAAATAAACATAGAAGGAAAAGACAACATACAATAATGTTTGTATAACAAATTTATTTTTGATATGATATTGCAGCTTCCTATTCTAAATAAAACAATGACAATGTAAAAACTTTTTACTTCCATTGCATACACATTTGACTATGTGTTGTTGTAATAAAGAAAGGTAAGAAAATCAACACATTCTAATGGCATATTAAATATGATAAAATAATTTATTATTATACAAATCTATTATTTTTCTAAATAAAATAATTTATTTCACTAAAACATCTGACGTTTCACATTAAATTCTAAATTAGTTTGTATTCGTAGAGGGAACCATTTTCTATTAAGATTTTTTCAAATTCAAGACTCAAATTCAAAACATTTGATTAATGATTGAAGAATCATATACAGCACGTCACAATACTCTTGTTTATATTTATACTAGTTTCTAGACACGTGCTTTGCACGTTTGTTCCATTTGAATTTTTATAGATATGTTAGAATGACTAAACTGTTATGAAAACATATACGTGGCACTCCTGCAAATAAGAATAAAACTAATCTTCCTCTTTCATTAAAAATTGTGTCTTTTATGAAAAATATAGACTTTTATGAAAAGTTGTGACTTTTATGAAGAGTTGCGATTTTCATGAAAACAACAGTAATGAATTTACCCGATTACAGTAGTCTTTTTGATTAAAAAAAACTGATAAAATATTACAGTAATCTGAACAGATTAACTTCTTCTTTGACCTTTGTGTTGTTCCATTTAATTTTTCCTTCCTATTTTTCTTAGACACAACTGCTATGAATGAATACACCTAAAAGTGAAAAAAAAAAACAAACAAACAATTCCAATATAAAAACTTTTACTCTCATTGCATACACATTTGACTTGGTGTTGTTGTAATAAAGAAAGGTAAGAAAATCAACACATTTTAATGGCATATTACATGTGATAAAATAATTTATTTTACTCAACATTTAGTTTTTAAAAATAAAAAATAGATAAGATATTATAGTAATCTGAATATATTGACTTTTCATTGACTTTTTTGTTATTTTATTTTAATCGCTCCTCCCTATTTTTCTTGGACACATCTGCTACTAATAAATACACCCAAAGGTCAAAAGAAATGTAAAGATGATGATAACAATATAAAACGATCAGTTAGATTATTCATTTTTATTTTGAACAGAAAAGAGTAATGTTTATGGGAGTAACCATATCAAACTTTTATTTATATAAAAAAAATGAAATCTCCAGGCTACAAATTAAATAAAAGAAAATGACTTTTTCATATTTTTTAAGTGTAAAAGTGATTTCTTCGATTTCTTTGTATTTTCTTTTTTCTTTTTTTTTAATTGGAAAATTTTTGCTTTGATTATTAAATTGGAATCACTTTTACTTTCATTGCATACACATTTGACTAGGTGCTGTATAATTAATATGAAAGGTAAAAAAATCTAACACATTTTAATGGCATATTAAATGTGATAAAATAATTTATTATTATAAAAATCTATTATTTTTCTAATAAAATAATGTTGATGGAAATTATTATTATAGAACTAGTTTCTGGACACATGCCTTACACGTGTATTACATCTATTTTTTAAATAAATTCATTAGGACGATTAAAATTTTATGAATACATGTGTGTAATGATTAGTACAAAAATGCATCAATCTCAAACAAATGTTGTGATAATAATCTTTTCATAAAAAATTAAATTAAAATAGAATGATTAGAGAGAAAATATAAAAAATAAACATAGAAGAAAAAGACAACATACAATAATCTTTGCATACCAAATTTATTTTTGATATGATATTAGAGCTTCCCACATATAATAATATATGATATGATAATTATTCTTCTAAATAATACAATTCCAATGTAAAAACTTTTACTTTCATTGCATACACATTTGACTAGGTGTTGTTATAATAAAGAAAGGTAAGATAATCAACACATTTTAATGGCATATTAAATGTGATAAAATAATTTATTATTATACAAATCTATTATTTTTCTAAATAAAATAATATATTTCACTCAAATATCAAGCATTTCACATTAAATTCTAAATTAGTTTGTATTCGTAGAGGAACCATTTTCTATTAAGATTTTTTCAAATTCAAGACTCCAATTCAAAACATTTGATTAATGATTGAATAATCATATACATCACGTCACAATATTTTTGTTTATACTTATACTAGTTTCTAGACACGCGCTTTGCACGTTTGTTCCATTTGAATTTATATAAATATGTTAGAATGACTAAACTGTTACGAAAACATATATGTGGCGCTCCCGCAAAGCAAAATAAAGAGTGTCGACTTTCATGGAAAAGTTGTGACTTTTATGAAGAGTTGCGACTTTCATGAAAAGTTGTGACTTTTATGAAGAGTTGCGACTTTCATGAAAACAACAGTAATGAATTTACCCGAATACAGTAGTCTTTTTGATTAAAAAAACTGATAAAATATTACAGTAATCTGAACAGATTAACTTCTTTTTTGACCTTTGTGTTGTTCCACTTAATTTTTCCTTCCTATTTTTCTTGCACACATCTTCTATGAATGAATACACCCAAAGGTCAAAAGAAATATAAAGATGATGATAACAATATGAAACGATCAGTTAGATCATTCATTTTTATTTTGAACAGGAAAGAGTAATGTTTATGGGAGTAACTATATCAACCTTTTATTTATTAAAAAAATGAGATCTCTCGAAGAAAATGGCTTTTTCATATTTCTTAAGTGTAAAAGTGATTTTTTTGATTTCTTTGTATTTTCTTTTCTCTTTTTTTTTTATTGGAAAAATTTTGCTTTGACTATTAAATTGGAATCACTTTTACTTTCATTGCATACACATTTGACTAGGTGCTGTGAAATTAATATGAAAGGTAAAAAAATCTAACACATTTTAATGGCATATTAAATGTGATAAAATAATTTATTATTATAAAAATCTATTATTTTTTTAATAAAATAATTTTGATGGAAATTATTATTATAGAACTAATTTCTGGACACATACCTTGCACGTGTATTCCATCTATTTTTTAAGTGAATTCTTTAGGACGATTAAAATTTTATGAATACATGTGTGTAATGATTAGTACAAAAATGCAATCTCAAACAAATATTACGACAATAATCTTTTCATAGAAAATTAAATTAAAATAGAATGATAGAGAGAAAATATAAAAAATAAACATAGAAGGAAAATACAACATACAATAATCTTTGCATACCAAATTTATTTTTGATATGATATTGGAGCTTTCCACATATAATAATATATGATATGATAATTATTCTTTTAAAAAAAACAATTCCAATGTAAAAACTTTTACTTTCATTGCATACACATTTGACTAGGTGTTGTTGTAATAAAGAAAGGTAAGAAAATCAACACATTTTAATGGCATATTAAATGTGATAAAATTATTTATTATTATACAAATCTATTATTTTTCTAAATAAAATAATTTATTTCACTAAAACATCTGACGTTTCACATTAAATTCTAAATTAGTTTGTATTCGTAGAGGGAACCCTTTTCTATTAAGAATTTTTCAAATTCAAGACTCAAATTCAAAACATTTGATTAATGATTGAAGAATCATATATATCACGTCACAATACTTTTGTTTATACTTATACTAGTTTCTAGACACGTGCTTTGCACGTTTGTTCCATTTAAATTTTATAGATATATTAGAATGATTAAAATGCTATGTAAACATATATATGAACAACGGGTAATCATATATATATATATATATATATATATATATATATATATATATATATATATAAAAGAAAATCTTAGGTCCGCCTACGTGGCGCTCCCGCAAATAAGAATTTCCTTTCAAATTTGTCTATTTCCAAAACTAGTCTTCCTCTTTCACTAAAAGTTGTGTCTTTTTGAAGAGTGCCGATTTTTATGAAGAGTTACGACTTTCATGAAAACAACAGTAATGAATTTACCCGATTACAGTAGTCTTTTTGATTAAAAAAAACTAATAAAATATTACAGTAATCTGAACAGATTAACTTGTTCCCCTAAAAAAGTTCTTACCGTTTGTCACCAATATATTAGGGCACAAAAAGAGGCAAAAGCACACACATTTTACTTGATTAATATCAAAAGGCTTCAATTTAGTGACAAAAATGCATCTTGATACATAAGGAAAACCAGGCATCAGATTTATCTAACTAACAATTCTTCCCCTGAAAAGTTCTTACCGCTATAACCAATCTAAAATAGTAGGCACAAAAACAGACGGATAAAATTAGTAAATTTATAATTGAGGAAGATGAGAAAGATAACGCAACAAATGGTATTTATATACAAATTTAGGGACAATAAATTGGCACATACATAAACTACTCACGCTAATTGCATTTTCTTTAAAATTGACAATTTTTTTTAGGGTGATTGTGCTTTTCTCGTGTACGGTTTTTTTTTTTGCTTAATTTTGGCATTTGCACTCTACGTATCTCTCTAAAACTGCACAAAGACACCAAATTCTTTGTTTCAAGAAAGTGTCTTTTTAAGACACAAAAAAAGACACACACTTTATTTGTTGGACTCTTTTGTCCTTAAACTTAAATTACTTGAATGGTGGTCTTTTTTCTATTTTTAAAATGTCTAAAGTCGGGGAAAAAAAGTTACTTTTATTGCAGATACACTTTAACGGCAAAACTCAAACTTTGATTTCTTTTTCTTTTACTTTTATTGGAAAAAGTTGTGTTGACTATTAAGTTTGCACTAACATAAACACACATTGGCTGTAAAATCACTGTACTTTGTAAAGATCGTTGGGAAAATCCGTAACAGAAATAATATTTGCGGTAATAAAGGCAATAAATACGGAACACAATGATACAGTTAATTAACGAGAATAAAAGAAAAATAATGACATCAAGATTTTACGTGAAAATCCCCTAAATAAGGGAAAAACCACGACCCGAAAGGAACAACGAATATCACTATAGTAAGAATTTTACACTTGTTTGTCTGAGTAAAACTCCAAAGACCATTACACATTAAAAAAAAATAACATTCATTTGATTTTTCCACCTCACTACAATATCGCTCACACTCTCTATTTTCATCTGTGATGCCTCACTCTTCTTTCTCTCCTTTGTAATTCTTTTTGGTGCACTTAGAATGAAGAATTGTCCTCTTTTTTTTATAGAGAATAAATACACTACCTTTCAAATGTGCTACAGAAAAAAATAATTTTTTCTTCTTCATAGCTTACCTACTCTGTCAAACTTTGAAATTAGCAGAAAATAATTTTTTCTTCTTCATAGCTTACCAACTCTACCAAACTTTGAAATTGACACAAAGTTATTCAAAGTTTGGTACACGTGGATGAACTCCACAAAGATGGCATCAGACATAAGTGCATTATCAATCTTGTAGCTACTGAGTATAGACATAGTATCTCCATATCTGGTTTAGAGAGTCCCTAGGCCATATCATCGACCCTGAAGATCAGCGAGTTATTAGAAATGATTAGTCCAAACTTATAAGATCCTAACTGAAATAGGAAATAGGTTAGACCTAATAGGCGACAAATGAGTGTTTATATCAAATCTAGAATATACTGAGCCAAGTAAGGTAAGAGAGAAAGATAGCTAGTTAACTTTTAATCTAGCATCCGACAGCTATACAAGGTCGATAAGCATTTTCTCCACAGATTTGTTGCGGCATTGCCTCCTTGGTGTATTTCCGTTCTAAATAGATAAATATCATTTCTTTATAGTTTCTTTCATTTAATACAATAGTAAGAATTCTTCTCGTCGCTGATTTAATTGAACCAACCTTTCTTCTATATATTAATTAATCACAATTCTTACCGTTCTTAGCATAATAAATCCTTACCCTACAGTGTTATTTCAACGTCCATTGATTCTCTTGATCATATCTGAAGGTCATTACAAGTTTCCAAAGGCCATAATGAAAATTTTCATAAATAAAAAATTGTGAATTTAAGATTTGAAGTATCCTTATTTATTCATACCTTAAAAGTTCAAAGGGCGGCTCATTAGTTTTAAAAAAAAGTCATTCGCCTCAAACCCTCAATTTTAGGGAGCATCATTTTTTATTTAATTAGGTTAAATTAAAAAAAAATCTCATCTAATAAATGCAAACGGATAAAAAAAATTAAATTAAGTGAAAAGGTTAAAAGACCGAAGTGATTGACTTTTCAACTTTTCAATAAAAAGTTGTGTACTTTTTTTTAATGTACACACTATCTTTTTTTAAAAAAATTTTATTTTTATATATTTTACCCTCCTCTCCTCTATTTCTTCTCACTTTCGCCTTTCTAATATTATATTTCTCTTAGTCTCTTATTCAAAGCTTAGGAACTTACTTGCTCTAAATGATAGTTTATATTTTAAATTTGGAGAAAAATTATATTGCAGCAGCTCCATTCATTTTCGGAATCAAGTCTTCATAGCTTTTGAATACGGTAATATCATTCTAATTTTTAATATTATTTTTATTTTGTGTCTTATGTTTAATATATTTTATATTTGATATTCTAAATAGTGTTTAAAATCGTCAAATGTCTCAAGAAAAATTAAGTGGTTTGACTATATTATCGATTGAAAAAGAATTATTAGAAGATATCATCCACACAAAAATTATTAACAACTTTGCATTTCAAAAAGCAAGAAAAATAGATTTAAAATAAAATCATTTATAATTTTTTTAAGGCCACCAACGGATTTGAGCCGCCTCTATCTGAAATTATACTTTTATTTTTCTCCCATATATTATATAGAAATTAAATTACGCAACATAAGATATATAGTATTTTCACAAACTAGAGTGACGCTTTTGGGGGTTCTTTTCCTACGTATGATGTAACCTGTCATGCCTTACTGCATAACTTGTAAAAATTATGATACAAAAATATTCAAAAGAAAGGCTAGAGTTCATTGCACATAATCAGATGACAAAGGAAAGATTCAGCACATTAAATGTAGGAAAATGTTCAAACGATTTTAAGTGTGTCGAAATGCAATTTACATGTATGCTAATTCACACCGACACAAAATATCAATCAGATTGTTTGAAGAAACCTAAATATTGTTGGAGCAAAGGATCATAAACAAAAACGTTATGTGTTTGATAAAACGAATGTTAATAAACGCATTTCACAGAGAAATTGATGTCTTGCTCCACAATTCAACGAAGAAGGATATCGATATCCATGTGTAACCTTTTCTCCATATCCTCTTCTTTTGAAATCTCATCCAGAAACTGCTGCAGCCAAGCTACATCAAGCACGACTTCCACGGCAGTAGAGACAAAAGATTTCATCTGTTTGATTGATGAAGAACCAACATCACCAGCTTTCAGCCTCTTTACGACGTCACAAACTAGATCAAGAAGGGAAGCTCTGGAAGCCAATGATTTGTAGTGACAATTGACTGCAATGTCACCATACTTGGCAAAAATGGCAGTCAATATGGGAGCCTGCTAACTTCTACTTTATAGCCATGCACATCCACCTTGACCCCTTTATTTCGGCGCCCTCCTTTTGGAGTTGAATTATCCTGCTTGGTCCTACAGCAACATAAAAAGAATGTTATTCAGCTCGAATTACATTAATTCGTATGCAAAGGGAGTTTAAATCGTGATATTTAATAACTTATGTTGTTGGAGGAGCCAGATCATCAGCTGCATTCCCCTGCCAAATTTTAGAGCATATAAAGGTGTTATGAAATAAATACTAAGTTTTAGATATCTATCGATTCGCCATGCATGCTTTCTAGGTTCTCTCTCTCATCTAAACTTCTGCAGCAGTTTGCCATTCACGATGACACACTTGAACACTTTTAGAGACTAAAATGGTTGTCGTGCAGGGTGAAAATGACTAATTTAAGAGGATAAAACAAGAACTAATAACTCACATTTAGGAACAGCTTCAAACAAGGTAGAGGAAGAAAAAGGGGTAGAACAAAAGCTTTACTTGAAATGACATAATATTCCAAAACAACTACATTCTAAGCACTTATTTAAAGTAGGCTAATATTAATAACTGAAAGCCAGATTAAACTAATGATAACAGATGTTTACCTCTTCTTGTGATAGCAAGTACTTCCTCCTTTTACGTTCTTTACATTGTTTTTTACAGGCTATGGGGAAATTGATTTCTTTGGTGTTTGAGATAGAACCCAGTACCTGCAGAGATCAATTTATGTACATATTAAGTCCAAATTAAGGGTAACTTAAATACTTTACATGAGTAAATGTAACTTTCGAAATGAGGACATTCACTTCAGTATAATCACTTATTGAAGGTTTTCTAGTCTAACTAAATAAGCCAGCTCTAATTAATGATACTGCGATAAAGTTGACAATTTAATTTATGTATATAATAAGTCCAGAACCAAGGGGCAGAAATAAATGATCGTATACTTAAATACACAATTTCCTAAACGAGTTCAGTCAATTAATGCTAACTGTTTGATTTACCTCAGCTCTTATATTTGATCTCCTTTCTGTACTTGTCCAAGCATGTACATATCCTTCCTCTGCTTTATTCAAAAAAATAGGTTTCCAACCTCTTTTCTTTGAAGTTTGAGCAGCTTCTGGATCTACTGCTTCTTTGGCTGCTTCTGGTTCCTTTAACGATGAAACTGTCTCTAGAACAACATCATCGTTCTTATGCGCAGAATGTGGTGCAAGCTCTTGCGGAGCACTTTCCACCTGACAAGTGTGCAGCACAGGAAGAATTCACATCAGTACTACAAATCCAGAACAAATATCACTTAAACTTACCTTTACTTATCGCACCTTTATATCACAGGTAATCAGCAACACAGGAGCTTCTGACTATCTCGTAAAGGACCTTAAAGTTTTATCTTTCTCAAGATATTCTAAGAATGAGGACAGGTTGGTGGAGAACTACATGTCTACACATTCCTGAGTTTGGAAAAGTAAAAAGAACTTAAAGAGAAACATCACCAGACAAGTTAGGATCACAATGCTTTAAATTTATCAAAGAACATGGGATCAAAGTTATAAAAAACACTGTAGCACATTGTGTAATGATCCATGATAAATTCTCGCAGCTGATACTACAGATTGCCTACTAGGCATTAACAAGGAAGGTCCAAGTCATCTTATTTGAACGGTCAAACATGTCATTATTTTCTTTAGCGGTACTGTCATTGTTGACATCACGGATTACATTTTTCTTTCCTCTTCTATTTTCTGAGTATTAAATTTCTTTCATTTCCCACCACATTTTCCTAAGATTCTTAGATCTTCAGTTTTTCATGATCGGCTGATTGCATGTTTATCTGCTTCCATTTCATAGTAAATTAGGCAAAAAAGGAGAAGCATAGAATTATACAACTAAACAATCATAGATTTTTTAAATAAATGCAGCAATTACTTTGAATATCAGATAGACCCACCGTAGCTTTAGTTTTAATCGCGGCCAGATTAATTCAACAACTTCTGAATAGTTGTTAAAGGAAATGCCAAGGTCCGTCACTGCCTTTTGAAAATATGGATAGAGTTTGACAGCACTTTCTTGAAGAACTTTCTCTCCCAGCACATAGGAACGAGGTGAAACATTCTAAACCAAAATAAGACGTCATTAAAACAATGAGAAAGATAAATAAATAAACTTATAGAGGAAATTCAATACCTGATTTTCCTTCTTTACACTACTTATGAGGATGCTCACAAGGGTGTTCAGAAGCTGCATTGGAATATCATCACTCTCTTTTATTATCATGGTCATTATTTCTTTGATGTTCATGAATACTTCATCAGGGTGGTCCAACCTTAAAATAGGGAAATAGACAAAACAGTTGTCAGCCATTCCCCAGGAAAAAAAAATGGCTAACTGAGAAACTGATAGTTTTTGATTGTTATGAAGGAAAAAACATCAGAATCCAAATTTGACTAATATAGACCAGAATTGTGATTAACTAGCTCATAAGCGAGTAAATTCATTTGGAAGTGACTTCTCTTCAACATGAGATTGATTGAAGCTACTGAAACTGTACTTAGTAGTTGATTAGTACCAGCAATGAGACAAAGTTTTACCACTTCCCCTGGTCTTTCAGCCATTACTTCTTTCCTTTTTTACTTTTCAAGTGCACCAATCTTATTTAAGATTGAAAATTCCATCTGGAACAAACCCTTTGGGCCAACGCAACCTTCGGAACTTGGGGATGACGGGCCCTCTCCTCTATCCTTCTCTACTTAAATATTGGATTAAGCTCACTTGAGGAAGGACTCAAACATGTAACCTAAGACACGAGTCCCTCAACCGGTGCCTGTTGAGCTCATCCCTGGGGGCTTAACTCAATCCATCCTTTGATCCACAAATACCAGAAAAGTTTTCAATTCCTCTTACCTTTAGGAAAAGTATGAATGTATATCATAATTGGAGGTATACCTTATACTATTTTAAAAATGTTGAAACATTTGAACAATCAATGCATCTAATTGGAGATCCAACATCAGCACGCACGTTTGGTACTTTGCAAGAACTTCAATAATTGAGACAGCCTTTGAATAACAGCGACCCTCCAAGCATGACAATTTCCCAAATGCCAAAACTGCAAGCTTAAAAAAGTCCTGTCCGCCATTGAGCAAGAAACCAAACCAAGAGTACATATAAATACTATTCATGCATCCAAAAAAATCATAACTACTCTACAGAATCTGAACCATCAATTAAAAAGCAAAACAGCATAGTTAGAAGAGAGACTGGCAACCAGTCTGACTTCCAATTTCAATAAAGAAGACTGTGAGTTGTACTTGCCTCAAGTCTGGCATCATTATATGGTTGATCTGGAGCTGTAATTCTGATGATCTCACTCATGGAAGATGCAACTGATACCTTCACATCTATGTCAGGATGCCGTAGAACTCCATCTGTAACCAGTGCTTCCATTGCAGGCTGAATAGCATCTCGCACCGATGCTGGGGGAACTTGCTTCACCATTGACAAAAGTTGCTCCAAGTTCTGAAAATTGCATACCAAAAAGAAGTGATTGAACTATGTCAAAAACATTGGAAATGCTTCTCTGGATAACAAAGAGATCTAGATCATAATTCATGAGATCTGTTAGAAATAAAGAATGATAAGTTCTAAACAAAATCACAAGGTCAAACATATCTCTCTCTCTCCACAGTTTTATGTTCTTTCATCCATCAGGAGGCCTGATTATGTCCTTTAAACAACAAGAAGTGAACAAACACGGCGAGATAATTGACTGCCAGATCAAGCAAATAAGCAATGTCAACGGGAAATCCCAATCTATGATAAAACCTATGTTGAAGCACAAGAAGAAAAGTTAGGATAAGTTCTTTCAGAATAAACATGATTAAAGATGGATGGAATTGACTGATCTTTCTTCCCTAGTTATGTGCAAGGAACACGTTAATTTGCCAAAAAGGGTCTACTAATAAATGCCCCGCTTAGATTACAGTAATCTGTATAGATTCACTTCTTCTCTGCCCTTTCAGTGTGCTTCTGCTATAAACGTATTCGGCCAACATCTAAAGATCAAAAGAAATATAAAGGTGATAATAACAATAAGAAGCTCTCAGTCTCGGACTTTATTCGTTTTTATGTTGAAATTCAGATGAGTAATGTTTATTGTAGCAACTATATCAACTTAAGGATATAATAGGGAATTAATCAAAGAAGAAAATTGTACGCGGTATTGTAAATCTATCTAGGGTATCAGAAATATAAATACATTTCCAGCGGGTCTTGCAATAGATTATGTAGTTGAATGCAATGTTAGACATTAAATCTGTTATAGCCTATTGAAATAATATCCGAGTATGTGAAATAAAGATTTTTTTTCTAAAAACGTAACAGGAATGGAAAAACAGATTAAATCAAATTTGTTGCCACCAAGAACCAAGGGAGACCCACGTATTGAAAGGTCTAAAAAGGTAAGGTAACAAAGTCTTGGGTCCAGTTCAGAGACAAATCTAGTTGGACTGGTTTATTAAAAATCGGTGCTATGAGTATGGATTCTGTATAAATTATAGAATTAAGACCTGTAGATATGATAAACTTACTGATATAGTACTCACGTGCAGTACGCACAAGTTGGCTTTCTTGTAAACAATGTTTTCATCACCTTAGTGGCTGCCCGCTCAATGACCGTGTTGTTATCATCCTATGCTTCCTTGATATCTCAAGAACATCAGACTCTGCATATTACCTGAGGAAGGGATTCAGCTCCGTGGATTTGCACTTGAATAGACATACAGTTGTCTGTAAAATCACTGTACTTTGTAAAGATGTTATCAAACACAAGTGCAATGCTGGCTCTAATCTTGTAGCTACTGAGTATAGCATAGACATAGCATCTCCGTATCTGGTTCAAAGAGCCCCAAGGACTAATCATCGGCCCTGCAGATCAGCAAATTATTAGAAATGATTATTCCAAACATAAAAGATCCTAACTGAAACGTGAAGGCAGAGAGCTAAGCAGATAGGTTAGACCTAATAGGCGGCAAATGAATGTTTACATTAAATACAGATATACTAAACTCAGTAAGGTAAGAGAGAGAAAGTTAACTTTTAATTACATCACTTAGCTACAGGTTAATAGGCATTATCTCTCCAGATTTGGTACGGGTTGCCTCCTTGGTGCAATTCCATTATAAATCAATAGATATCATTTCTTTATAGCTTCTTCCATTAAACACAATAATAAGATTTCCTCGTCATTGGCAAAACTAAATCAATTCTTCTGCTATATTTATCACAATTCCTACAGTTCTCAGCATAATAAATCCTTGTCCTACAAAGACAATCAAGGAAACCTTAATCTAAGTAAAGATTTAACCTTCTGCATACAGTTGTATGTATCAACAGGAAATCCTGATGAGATACCTTCTCGTTCTTTAAATTTCAAGAGTAATGGCAACATGGAATTACTCAACTCTGTTAGGCACCGCAATATTGAAGCGAGTCTTAGTATCTTGAACCGTAGAGATGCATTGCCATAGTACATATTCATAAGGGGAGAGAACGATTTGGAGTGTAACTGATAGGAAGATGAATAGGTAATGAGAACTGCTTGAGATATCTATGGTTAAATATCTCAGACGGAACCATTGACTGGCAAATTCTGTAATGGTAATTTCAGTGGTAAAGCTCTTGCTGAATATTGCAATACAATACTCAAAGCACTAAGACACTGCACCTTTACTTAAAAGCTTCAAACTTCTTTGTATGGACGAAATCATTTTCTGGAAAACTCTAATTTTCTCGTGTGTAGTTAGTTGGTCAAAATATTTTGGAAAACATTTTGTCTAGACTTTTTTACTGAGAGTAGAGAAAACAAGTTCTATAAGTGACATTTAAGTTCATTGTGTCCTCCCCACCCACCAAACATCCCCAATCCCCACCCCATATTAATCATTCAACCCCTGAACCCCCAACTCCCTACCTCATCCTGTCACATAGTGTTTTGCTAAATTATATATAAAAATACTCTTGAAATAATATTATTTTTCTTACTAGAAACTCACTGATTTTAGGTAAACATTTTCCCATGTACCAAACACACCCTAAGTGCAGAAACGTGAAATGATTTAACATTCACACTGAAGAACATAATCTTAAGAAAATATATGCCTGAGGGAGCAATAGGCATTACCATCTAACAAGAAACAGATAGAGAAATATTTCCCAACAACATCTTCAATATTAGAAGGGCCAGATAGCAGCTTTTGAGATATCTAGTGGTCGAATCCAAGACAACAGGTTCAGTTACAGAAGGATAACAGTTAAAGACCACTAAAGCGCATATGCAAACCTAAGAAAAAGCTTGACCAGTGACAAATGTGAGAATACAGGAGAACCAGTCGCATAACAGAAATATTTTTCCTTGCACAGCTGACAGTAGATCTTTGTCCCTGCACAATTTAGAACCAGTTAATGCAGCTACTAATAGAAATAATCCCATCAAAGTCACTAAATAATCACATGATCTACATAAGTAACAGAAGAAATACAGTTGTATGTATCAACAGGAAATCCTCATGAGTTACCTTCTCGTTCTTTAAATGTCAAGAAAAATAATGGCAACATGGAATTATTCAACTCTGTTAGGCACCGCCATATGAAGCGAGTCTTAGTATCTTGAACCGTAGAAATGCATTGCCATAGTTGATATTCATAAGGGGAGAGAACGATTTGGAGTGTAACTAATAGGAAGATGAATAGGAAACAAGAACTGCTTGAGATATCTAATGATCAAATCCAAGACAACGGGTGCAGTTATTGAAGGATACTAAAGCACATATACAAGCCTAAGAGGAAGTTGCACATAAAATAGTTTTTTGCCTCATTGGGGCTTGGGCTAACTAAATATTTTTGGTATAACCTTTTTGTAGCATAGACAATTGTAATGAATTTGACAGCATCTCTATAATATCTTCTTCTTTCTTGATGCCAACAATGAATGTACTTACTTCATAAAATTAAAAAGAAAAAAAAAAAAACTAAGTGACAATATGCCCAAAGCCCTACGCAAGAGGTCAATTTAAAGCTGTCCCCTGAAATGGTTCAGGAGATATCAATATTTTTTCCTAAAGAAGGAAAATTGCATAACATACTTCACCCAAGGAGTAACTGTAAATCCTCATGAGTTAACTTTTCCTTCTTTAAATTTCAAGAATTAAAACGAGTGTTGGTATCTTGAACCCTAGCAATGAGTACATATTTAGAGCGAAAGTGAATATTACAAGTTCCCATAGTCAAGACTCAAAAACCATGATCTTTTTTCCCTGCACAATATAGAAACGTTTTTACTAATAGAAATAAATAATCACAAGAGTAACAAAAGTAACTGGAATCCTCATGGGTTACTTCTTCTTCTTTAATTGAAGCAAATGTTGGTATCTTGAACCCTAGCAAGGAATTGATATGGAGATGATTGATGAACATTACAAGTTTCCATAGTCAAGACCATGATTTTGTTCCCTGCCCAATACAGGAACTGTTACTAATGAAATAAATAATGGCATGAGTAACAGAGTAACTTCAAGAAATTTCAAGAATTTGATAATGAATTGCAGTAAGGACTGGGGAGGAAAGAGAGTGAGTTGAGAGTAAATGCACTACGAAGATAAATAGAGGATAGATCTTTCCCAAGTCTTTTTATATAGAAGAAAGCGTTCTCATCTGTTTGGAAAAAATTGAATGGCGGGAACGTACCTTTTGGCTTTATAATTTAGTTATCTTGTTCGGTATGATATGGTCATTTGGTTGGGAACAAGTTATTCCTGAATTAGCCATAACTTATTTTATTATTATGATATAAATGATGGAATAAATTATCCTAAACACGGCAACCAAACAAGTTACAAAATTTTATCTCATCATTATTTATTTTATCCCGACAATTGTTTGGTTGGGAGCATTCTGTTGTTTATTGTATGTCGCTTATAATTAATGATAAGGATATATTAGGAACTAAAAGTGTAAATTTATCCATAAATTTTATATAATGGATAAGTATTGTTGGAAGAATGGAGTAGCATATATTTCTGGATATTTCTCTCTTGGGCTAGTCTCAATGATGTTATTGTGGGTTTTGGGCTATAGAATTAGTATTTGAGTGATGAATTAATAGATTAATTGTGGATTATTGTTCTCTGTGTCATGGATTATTAAAAAAGAAAAAAGTGATGAATGTGCACAAACGATTTTATGTGTAACGCTACATGTATGTGTTCAAGGAATCCTAAATATTGTTGGAGAAGAGGATATTCAACAAAAACTTCGTGTTAGGTAAAAAGAATGTTAATCAACTCATTTTACTGAGAAATCAATATCTTGCTCCACAATTCAATAAATAAGACTATCCGCATCCACACGGACAGACTTACTTGTATATATCATTCTATAAATCAAATTTAAGAAGTTGATCTAATACATGTTTTAGACGGACAGACTTACTTGTATACATCATTCCAGATTTCAAATTTAAAAAGTTGATCTAATGCATGTTTTAGATTTATTCGGTAATAGTGTTCAAGAAAAATAGCAAGGATAAAACAGCTCTACAGAAGCTCATTTAACCTATTAAGTCGATACTGTGCTTGATCCTCGACCTCCTTTATGTCCTGCTGAACTTTTTTACGCACTGTTTCAAGCACTTTGACAGACCTTTCCACCTGTCCTGCTCGGCTTCGGGCCTTTTGCAAGCGCTTTTCAGCCTTTTTGAGCCGTTCCTCTGCAGTGAAGACCTTCCTATTCCTTCCTATCATGTCCTTTTTAGCTGCTATAGACACTAGCATGGTAGTCTTGCTCAACTCCATCAAATCCGATAACTTCTTCTCCATATATCCCTCTTCTGAAATCTCATCCAGATACTGCTGCAGCCAAGTTACATCAAGTTTGACCCTCGCTGCAGCAGAAACCAAAATTCTCATATTATCGATGGAAGTGGAGCCAAAGTCACCGGTTTTCAGCCTCCTTACAACATCACAAACTATATCAAGAACGGAAGCTCTGAAAGCCAGTGATTTATAGTGACAATTGACTGCAATGTCACCATACTTGGCAAAAATGGCAGTGAGTATGGGACCACTGCTCACTTTTACTTTATAGCCATGCACATCAACCCTGACCCCTTTATTTTCGTGCACTCCTTTTGGAGTTAAATTATGTTGCATGGTCCTACCGAAAAAAAAAACTTCGTTCAGCTTGAATTACATTCATTACAATGCAAAGGGGGCCTAAATGCGATATAAATAACTTACATTGTTGAAGGAGTCGGATCATCAGTTGGTTCCCCCTGCCAAATTTTCGAGCATAGACAAGTGTTATGAAATAAATACTAAGATTATGTTTTTAGATTTCCATCACTTCGCCATGCATGCTTTCTAGGTTTACTTTCTCATCTAAACTTCTTCAGCAGTTTGACATTCACAATGACACATTGAACACTTTAAGAGACCAAAGTGGTTGTCATGCAGGGTGAAAAAGAATAATTTAAAAGGATATAACAAGAACCAATTATCATAAATTAATGCCTAGGAGAACTCACATTCAGAATCAGTTTGAGCATCCAACCAGGTTGAGGAAAAATAAGGGGTAGAACAAAAACTTCACTTGAATTGACATGATATTCCAAAACAAATACATTCATTCACTTTACTAAGCACTTATAGAAAGAGAGTAAACTAATATTAATAGCTAAAAGCCAGATAAAATTAATGATAACAAATGTTTACCTCTTCTTGTGATAGAAAGTACTTCCTTTTACGTTGTTTACGTTGTCTTTTACAGGCTTTAGGGAAATTGATTTCTTTGGTGTTTGAGGTGAAACTCAGTGCCTGCATAGGAAGTCCAAATTAAGGATAAATTAAATACTTTAATTGAGTAAACATAACTTTCGAGATGAGAACATTCACTTTAGTGTAAATAAGAAATTTCACATGGAAATCCTAATCTATGATAAAACTTAAGTTGAAACACAAGAAAGAAAGCTAGGCCAAGTTCCTTCAGAATAAACATAATAAGCAGATGGATCGTGTTGACTGATCCTTAATCCCTAGTTATATTGAATGAACATGTTGATAATAGTCGATATCATAATCTAAGCCCAGCTTTTAGGTTAGATAAAAACATTTACCCTTAAAAGATCAGAAAGTAACCCAACAAACAATCAACAAAGTTCAAAAATTTAAGAACCATCCAATGTGCTATAGTATTCATTGAATGATAAGGCATCACATTATCTGGATGTACAAGCCAAGCAATTCAATCCCAAACTAGAGGGTGTCAGTTGTATGATGTATCCTTCTGCAATTTCAGCCCCATTGAGAGAATCACTGAATCAACCTACCGCATCCCTTATCTGGACTTTGCCCCTCTTTGCTAAATTGATTAAACATAGACAAGTTTTTAGTTACTAGAATGTCCTGAAAAAGAACTAAACCTCTTGAATGATATTTCACTAGGGGTGCTTATAAGAATTTCACCTGATGCAAACCATGACCAATCAACACAAGGGGTAATTGAGTCTTTAACCATGCTAATGCATATATTAAATCCCTCATATTACTAGTACCTAGAAATCCAAGGTATAAGTAATACACTCTTCAATACACAATAGAGTGTATAAGTAATGCAAGCATTAGTTATGTACAAAGACAAACTTGTATATATAAGATTACTCAAAATGCTTGGAGAAGCCCAACTGCAGAAAATCACATAGAATACCACACTCTAGATCACTTCTTCTTTAAATGCAGCGCAGAGAAGTAGAGATTACTTTCCTGAAGTTGGGCATAGAAAAGCACGAGCAAGACACCTTTACATAAATGATATTAGCCCAACTTGTATGGACTATGGTCATGGTATCATTCAATATCTTTACAGAAGTTATAGATTGGTTAATTTCCATTTCAATCAAGGCTGATTCATTTATCTGCATGAGCATCCGTATAAGGTAAAATGTCTAAGGGGGAGATATTCTCTGGCATGCATATGCCATTGCATCAGTACAAAGCTTCCAATTTCAGTGGTAAAGCTCTAATAGATGATACTGCAATAATTTTGACCATTTCTTCTGATGGAAAATATTGTTCTTTAGAGGCTTTGGCAAAATTGATTTCTTTGGTGATTGAAAAGGCAGAAGCCAATGCCCGCACAATTTAATTATGTATATAATAAGTCCAGAACTAAGTTGCAGAAATAAATGGTATACTTAAATGCACAACTTCCTAAAAGAGTTGGGTCAATTAACGGTAACTGTTTGATTACCTCAGCTCCTGATTCACCAACTGAAGACTGCCATCTTTTATCACGATCTTCAGCTCCTGATTCACTATTGGAGATTGCACATTCAGAACCAGAAACAAGAGACAGGGAAACCATTTCCTTTTCCCACAGCAACTTTGAAACAAGGATAGAAGTTTCAAAAACCCAAAACTAATAACCAGTACTTGTACAAAAGGACAAGAGAGAAAAGAGAGATTATATGAAAATTTGAGGCATTAGGAATTTACTCTTTGGGCAGTTACGGAAATTTTTTCAAAGTGTGTGAGTATAATTGAGGCAATCTTAACGGTGTAATTTTCAGGTTTCCCTCTTAAAATTGTTTTCAATAAAGGGAATTTGCTTCCAAGAATATACTTATAAATGTTCTGCTTAGATTACAGTAATCTTTTTGATAAAAATAAAAATAAAAAGATAGATAAAATACTACAGTAATCTGACCAGATTAACTTTTCCTTGACCTTTTTTTTATATCATTTAATCTTTTCTCCCTATTTTTCTTGGACACATCTGCTATGAATGAATACACCCAAAGGTCAAAAGAAATATAAAGACTAATGTGTGGGAGTAACTATATCAACCTTTTTTTAATAAAAGAAAATGAGATCTCTTGGCTACAAATTGAATAGAAGAAAATGACTTTTTTTCATATTTCTTAAGTGTAAAAATGAAGATTTCTATAGAAAGACGATAAAACTAAAATAAATCATGAGTGACTTACGAAACTAATTCTCCCTAAACTTCAAGACTTCTAATAGGAAATTTTATCGAAGAAGAAAACTAGATTTTGTACTGTAATCTATCTCTGGATATCTGAATACCCAAATATATTTGCATCGGGTCTTTTGAAATAAAGTAGTGGAATGTCATCAGAACTGTTACAGCCCATTGAATTGAAATCTGCGCATGTGAATAAAAGATTTTTTTCTAAAAAAGTGAATATGAAAGGAGAAACTGAGTAAAAAAAATTTGTAGCTACCTAGAACTGAGAGGATCCCCGTATTAAAAGGTATAAAAGAGGTCGAGGAACTGAGCCTCGGCTCCTGTTCATAGACAAATTTCTTCAGGCGGGTTTAGCCAAGACCATCAATTCGAATTTGAAGCATGTATAGATCTATAAAAATTATCTTTTACATGGACATGAATATATAATAAACTTACAATAGCAAATATATTACTCACATGCATGTACACATAAGTTGCCTTTCTTGTAAACAGTTTTCATGAACAGGTGGAAAGACCACACACATAATGATTATGTTGTATCATCCCATGCTTCCCTGATATCTCAAGATTGACAGACTCAGCATCTGAGATAGTGTTATACATTGGCTTTAAGGCCATACTATTGTAGCAACTCAACTGTATTGTAGCAAGGAATTAAGCGCTTGTGGATTTAATCTTGTAGCTACTGAGTATAGTCACAGCATTCCGTATCACCGTCCCTGAAGATCAGCAAATTATTAGAAATGATTAGTCCAAAGTATTAGATCCTATACAGAAATATGAAAAGGCAGCGAGCTAAACAAATAGTTTAGACCTAATAAGCAGAAAAGAGTATTTATATCAAATTTAGAATATACTGAACTAAGAAGGGTAAGAAAGAGTAAGCTAGTTAACTTAAAATTTTACATCTCCCGGCTATACAGGGGTCGATAAGCATAATTATCTCCACAGATTTGATCCGTCCTTAGCGCAATTCCGTTCTAAATAGATAGACATCATTTCTTTATAGCTTCTTCCATTTAACACAATAATAAGACAGAAAATGTTTCCCAACAACATGTTCAATGTTAGAGGGTTCAGCTATTGAAGGATAGAACTTAGTAGTTTAAGGCCACTAAAGCACATATACAAACCTAAAGCATGTGTGATAATACGGGAGAACCAGTCACATAATAGCACCATATCCCCCAAGTACTGGATGAGAGTCGTCCCATTTAAGTCTTTTCATTCTGCGTGCAATTTATGAATTTGTTTGCCAAAATCAATTTTGGTGCTAGTTATTGAATTGAATCGAAATTCACCACTAAACTTTCTTTTTTTCCCACAGATATTGGTATGGACCCAAGGATAACAAGAAAGGCATGTGTTTTCACTTGGCTAATTACGATCCAGATGGTGGAGAAAGATTACTAGAGTTAGTTTGTGTTACATTCGCAAAGACTCAGTAAAAGATGTGAACTTATTCTGCCCCTGTCTCGTCATTACATATATAAACTTTTCTTCTTCTTTTTCATAAAATTTTCCATAGCTCTCTTGCTGGTTTATTTAAGATAAACCACTTTACGAATGCTGCAGCATAAAGAAAACTACAAAATGGAGGCCTGTAACAACCCAAGCCAAACCCTGAAAAACAAACTACAAAAGGAGCGATAATAATTTTAATCTCAATTTATGAACAAGAGTTTAATCAGATAGGAAAAATACTAATGCATTTGACAGCCACAGGTCACAAGCACTCTTCCCATGATTTTGGTGAAGGTAAAAAAAAATGGAAGCTTTTCCAAAATAGAGGGTTGAAAAAATTGCAGGTAAATCTTGTCGGATTTGCTGTTAGCACGATGAAAGATAGCCTTGTTAGAGAAAATATAAATGCAGTTGAAAGGTAATAAGGATTTGTCCAATTGTACTGCTCAGCAACATGGCATGCCTTCAACCTTATTAGGAGAAAAAGACGAAACTCAACACAGAAAAATGCAGTAGAGCACATTAATGGCACTATCAATTTGGGGATCCAGGAATCACCTAGAAATGGACTGTTATTTGAAGATCAAGCAGCCAAGGTGTGAGGAACAGAGCAAGCGTGAAAATTTGGGCATTCTTTTGCATCTCTTTGCTGCCATACAAGGGTAGCACATGTCACAACCCGTTCCCTAAACAAAGCTGTGACCTGCACCGGTGCCTTACTTGACCAAGTGAACCGGCTTGACTATTCTAACTGGTAATACCCACATACATATAAAATGAATAACTAATCTCTTTGTCAGAACCTTCAATTCAACAGTTCTTAAAATAATCCAAATAAAAATTGAAATCTATAAATACTAAAATGTACTTAAAATAATCCAAAGTAAAGTGATCAACTATAACTAAACTAAAAATATATCTATACTTGAGTGCTAAGGGGAAAGCACAGAGATTTCCTGGCAAGCAAATACCAAATAAAAGAATAAAATTGTCTAACTGAAAGAGAAGAAGCTCCACGGTTAATGACAGAGCTCACCAAATAAAATTCTAGAAAAAAGCAACCTATTTCATAATGTGCTCGTCCATGACACCTACATCTACATTGACATAGGTCATTTCACAAAGAGAATGTCAGTACACCACTAATGGTACTCGGTGAGTCTCAACATTCTCCTCACTAAAGTCGCAAGGAGACCTTGAATAATAAAACGAGGGTAATGAAGGGATAAGAGAGGAGATATGCCACAATTCATTCTAAAGTATTATACAACGATGAAGCAGGAAACAATCACCTAAAATTTATAACTTAATTCATTCTTTTTCATTTTCTTTAAGTTGTTTCGGTCAATTAAACGTTTATTATGACCCCAGCTCTGGCAATTAGTAACCCTTTGTACAGTTACCTCGTTAAAACAAAATTAGTAACCCTTATATGGTTACCATTTATCAGAGTTCGCATTAAGGTTTCAACATTTTAACTTTATCATAATCACAGCAGCTACACATTTTGTACAGTTATATTAAAACACTTTATTTAAAATCACTGAGGCACTATTTAACATTAGCTAGATGACAACACTGGAAAAAGGCCATTTATTCTTGCAAGCCTAACTTTTCTCGACTCTGGCAAATACACGTCACACTGGACTGGAAAAATGGTGCTACCTGGAACAATTTGGCATGTTTCATTCCTTCTATCTTAAACTTTGGATTGTTTAGAACTCCAATGGTTGGAGCTGATATATGTGGTTTACACGAAGGAAGACTACTGAAGAACTTTGCCGTATCCAAAATCAAGAATCTCATTAGTCTAGAGAAGTGGGAAATTATGGCTTGGTCACGTGGGAGCTTACTTGTTCCAACTAAACTCACATTAACCTTAAGAAACATTTAATCAAACACTTCATAGACATGACTTCGTAAGGAAAGAACTTTAATAAGAATAAGTACTCTCACCTTCTTCTTTTTCCTTATATGACGAGATGAAGCAATAATGCAACCAAGGCACCTGCACGTTCACGATTTATGTAAAATACTTATCACTCACTGATATTGTTTCACATCGATAATTGAGAAAGAAATTTAGAATGGGACATACTATCTTATCCCAAAGCTCATAAGAAAACATAGTACTTTTAATGACTTTGTTTTTGCATTACGTGAAGTGTCCCAGTAGTCTGCTGATGCATTAGAAAATTTTACTGAAAACTGAATCATTATTGATTGTACAATTAACACGGAATACATTCAGCAAACATATCAAACGCCCACCAAAATTGCATGGACATTCTTCTTTTACTGGGTTTTATTTATGAAGTTCATTAATAATACAAAACGAAAAAAAAAAAAAAAGAACTTCAGTACAAACATAAAACTAATTTGTTGATTTATTGTTCACATACATCGGTGCTTGACTTTTAATTGTTTTCAAATTTACCATATAAAGAAATCCCCTATCAACAAAAATGCTAGAAAGGAACTGTAAATAACTTGAAATGAAGTATTAACTATTCATGCCTATTATTTTTTTTTCAATAAAAAGCAAATGAAAGAGCAACTCCCAACCACATTCTGAAAATGGAGGCTTGTTTGTCAGTAAATAAGGCACGCAGCAAAAAGGGAAAGATCTCTATAAGCTATATCAGCTTGACGAACCTTGTATTGCAACTAAAGATCCTCAACTAGCTCCTGATAATAACAAATCCAAATCTCCCAAAAATAAGGCTGAGCGATGACATCTTCCAGCAGTGGCAATAAATATAGACGTGTAGCAAAGAGAAACATCATTCCTAAATATAAAAGTAATCATTCGCAGAACTATAGAAAGTACTAGATATTACAATAAGGTTATTCCAATTTTCCACTATATTTAAAAGAACATCATTTCTTAGATTTTTTTCTGCAGAATTTACATTCATAATCTAAATTATGAACTCATCATAAAGTTTAAAATTTAGTATAATGCAGAAAATATCAAGTATTCAATAGCATAAACTGCCTCTCTCCACCCTTTCCTTTATTTCTATTAAACTGTTCCAAGGTTTGCTTGCACGTATGTGTTTGTCAACTGTACTTGTTGAGAGTTGAAATAACAAAGATTTAGAAAGGCATAAAACAAAGGTAATTCATTAGCTTCTTCATTCGTTTCTTCTCCTACCTTGCTACATGTCTAGTTTCATCGCTGCTGCTAGAAAATGTCATCGTCTACAAGAATGATGAACCTTCATACGTACGCTCAACCTTCCACCCCTAGCAGCCTGGTCTGAGGATGGCTCACTGGGAGATTTGAATACTATAGAAGTTTCAACTCCTGACCACATTATGAAAGTTATTTGCTTGACGAACCATGCATTGCACACATCCAATTATGTTATTTCTATGAAATGTATACATCAACATTGCTTGGCAAGGTTTCATTTTAAAAGGAGTGACAATGCTGCAGCCAAAGAAATTCAACTAGCTCCTCATAATAACAAATCCAAATCTCCCATAAGTCATTCCCAGATCAGGCTGCTAAGAAGTTGAAGGCTGAGCGTACGGATGAAGGAACATCACATTCTTCTAGAGCAACAACGATGAACCTGGATGTGTAGCAAGAAGGGAGGAGAGACAAACGAAGAAGCTTATGAAGTATCTTTATTTTAAGTCTTTCTAGATCCTTGCTATTTCAACTCTCAACAAGTATAGTTGACAAACACATGCAAGCATCCTCCTAAAACAATTAAACAAAAACAAAGGAAAAGATGGGCGGAGACAGTTTAAGTTATTGAATATTTCATATTTCATGCATTTGACTAAATTATTAACTTTATGATAAAGTTTAAGATTTAGATTAGGAAAGTAAAATTGAAGAAAAGAATCTAAGAAATGATGTTCTTCTTAATATAGTTTTAAAATTGGACCAACCTCATTGCATTATTAAGAGAAAAAACATATTGTACTTTAAAATCGTCCTTCAAATGATTACTTTTATATCTAAATAATGAAATGTTTCTACGGATCCAGGTCCATCACATTTTTGTAAAGCGACGACATCTTCCAACAACAAATGAACCTGGACATAAAGCAAGAGACTTTAAGATTACAGTTGACCCACCTATTCCCTCTTCTCTGCCCGGTCCAGTTAATTGGGGGTCCAATGTATGCCAGTATGTCTTCGTGATTCAAAAAGAGCAAAGTGTTTCTTCAAAGCAGTTTTCTAGTTCCTAAAATTGACAAAACGTTTACCTACTTCTATAATTGACATCATAATTGAGGCTGATGTATTATTCATATTCAGAAATTTATGACAAAGCAATTTATCTAACAAACAACCCTTCCCCTAAAAAGTTCTTATTGTTAACAAGATAAATTCAATCTAATATATTAGGGCACAAAAATAGGCAGAAACACACTGATTTACTAGATTAAGAACAAAAGGCTTCAATTTAGAGACAAAAAATGCATCTTGATACATAAGGAAAACCAGACATCAAATTTATCTAACAAACAACTCTTCCCCTAAAAAAGTTCTTGTTGTTATCAAGATAAAATCAATCTAATATAATAAGGCAGAAAAAGAGGCAAAAACACACAGATTTACTAGATTAAGAACAAAAAGTTTCTATTTGGATGCAAAAAGCATCTTGATACATAAGGAAAACCAGGCATCAAATTTATCTTACAAACAACACTTCCCCTAAAAAGTTCTTACTTTTAACAAGAAAAAATCAATCTAATATAATAGGGCACAAAAAGAGGCAAAAACACACACATTTACTAGATTAAGAACAAAAACCTTCAATTTAGAGACAAAAATGTTTCTTGATACATAAGGAAAACCAAACATCAAATTCATCTGACAAACAACCCTTCCCCTAAAAAGTTCTTATGGCTAAAACCAATCTAAAATAATAGGGCACAAAAACACATAGATAAAACTATTACTTAGGATTTAAAAGAAGATGAGAAAGATAATGCAACCTCATAAACAAGAAATGGTATTTATATACAAATTTAGGAACAAAATTGGAATACATAAACCATTCACGTTAATTGCATTTTCTTTGAAATCCACAACTTTTTTCAGGGTCATTGTGCTTTTCTCACGTACAGTTTGCTAAATGGTATTATACGTACGGACAAAATTAGCATACATAAAGCACTCACGTTAATTGCATTTCTTTGAAATCCACAATTTTTTTCAGGTTGATTGTGCTTTTCTCGTGTACAGTTTGCTAAATGGTATTATACGTAGGGACAAAATTGGCATACATAAAGCACTCACGTTAATTGCATTTTCTTTGAAATCCACGACTTTTTTCAAGGTGGCTATGCTTTTCTCATGTACAGTTTGCTAAATGGTATTACACGTAGGGACAAAATTGGCATACATAAAGCACTCACGTTAATTGCATTTTCTTTGAAAATTAACAATTTTTTTCAAGATGGTTGTGCTTTTCTCGTGTATAGTTTGCTAAATGGTATTATACGTAAGAACAAAATTGGCTTACATAAAGCACTCACGTTAATTGCATTTTCTTTGAAATCAACAACTTCTTTTAAAGTGGTTATGCTTTTCTCGTGTACAGTTTGCTTAATTTTGGCATTTGCACTCTAAAACTGCACACAGACACCAAAGTTCTCTGTTTCAAGAAAGGACCTTTTTAGGACACAGAAAAAGAGAGACACTTTATTTATTGGACTGTTTTGTCCTTCGAACAGTGAACTTAAATTACTTGAATGGTGGTATTTTTCTATTTGAAAAATTGTCTAAAATTGGGGGAAAAATTACTTTTATTGCAGACACTCTTACGGCAAAACTCAAAACTTTTTTTTATTGGAAAAAAATTGTGTTGACTACTAAATTGGAAAAACTTTTACTTTATACACATTAGAGTAGGTGACGTAATTAATGATGAAAGGTAAAAAAAAAATCAACAATTTTAATGGTATATTGAGTGTGATAATTTATTATTATAGAAATTTATTATTTTCTAAATAAAATAATTTCGATACAAGTTATTATCATTGAAAAATTATTCTTCTAAATAAAATAATTTCAATGAAATTTAAAATAAACTGCAAATATTAATTATCTTTTTCACTCAATGCCTTTATATTTTATATTAAATTCTCAATTAGTGTGAATTTGCAAATTGAAGCATTTCCTATTAAGATTTTTTTTTTTAAATTCAAGACATTTAAGTAACGATTGATGAATTATATACATCGCATCACAACAATCTTTTTTATATTAATATTGACAAAATTTATTGAAATAATCCTATTACTTTTTCTGTAGGTGTTGTGTGAGTAGGAGAGTCAATGAGACGGTCCGATAGTTTGTTTTTAAAAATTATGTTATCCCAATTTTCTGATATTATATAATGTGAAACCAAAAATATATATTTTTAAATCATATCATAAGAAATTGATATCAGTACATTTCAGTTAATTTTCTATATCTCCTCAAAATATGTTATTATCAATGTATTTTTTTTGCGAGTATGTTCTTGAAGAAGTACTTCGATTATATTCTTCACCTGTAAGTCAAAAATGTAAAACATTGTTCACGTATTGTTTGATCTTAAACATTTAATAGAAGTGTTTGTATAGATTTTTTTGTATTGTTTGATGAAACATCTATTATAAGTCTCGTCTAATTTTAAACATAATTAAATAAATGTTAATTAAAGAACAAAGATCTAAAGTCGGCCAATCATTATAGGCGTATGACTTAAGTTATATTTATATTTGAAAATATTATAAAATATATTTATCTATTAAATTTAGTATATTTTTAATATATAAATTATATATACATATACCTAACATTATTTATTCAGGCTCGGGAAATTTTTTGAATTATTTTGTGAATTAAACAGACCATTTCTATTGTTTGGGATTGCTATACATTTAAATAAAAATTTACGATTTTATTTGAAAATAATATAAATCAATTCGGTTAGGTACGATCGATTTTTCATATTCTTTTAACTCCTCAAGCCCCAAGGTGTGAGTGCAGTTTCAGTTTCATGATGATATGTTGGATTTATGACATGGTAGCTTTGTTTGATATTACTCTTTTAAATTTATGTAGTTGGATTTTACTCTCTTGATATTTGCCATTTGTCAATAAGATTTGTATTCCTTCGCATCTTTAATCAGGTATCATGTTTGAGTCTTAAGCACTGAGCTTGATTTATTTGACCGAAGGATGCAATAGAACTTGAAGGAGAGGAATAAATTTTTGGTTTATAATTTTGACAAATGAGGACCGTTATTAGGAAATATCTTGTTGATCGTCATCAAAGAAGTTGACATCTGGAGCTTCTTCTTTCCCTTTAAAATAAAAAACGGTGAAGTCCATCCTAAAATTTCAAATCTACATCCAACAACAGAGTTTCCTGATGAGAACAAGTTGTAAGACGTTGAAAGAAACCTTAAAGAAGGATGTCAAGATGACAAACAACATAAGATATATAATATTTTCACACACTAGAGTGATGCTTTTGGGTGGGAAATTTAAGCAACGCAACATAAGATATATAGGTTTTCCTTTTCCTTCTCTTGGATATTATATTTTGGCCTTGTGAGTCCCTACGTAGGATGTAACTTGTCATGCCTTACTGCATAACTTGTAAAATATTATGATGCAAAAATATTCAAAAGAATTGCTAGAGTTCATTGCGCATAATGAGGTGATGACAAAGGAAAGATTCAACACATTAAATGTAGGAAAATTTTCAAGTGATGAATGAGAGCTAACAATTTTATGTGCGTCTGCAATGCAATTTACATGTATGCTAATTCACACTGACACAAAATATCAATCAGATTGTTTGAAGAAACCTAAATATCGTTGGAGCAAAGGATCGGTAACAAAAATGTTATGTGTTTGATAAAACGAATGTTAATAAACTCATTTCACAGAGAAATTGATGTCTTGCTTCACAATTCAACGAAGAAGGATATCGATATCCATATGCAACCTTTTCTCCATGTTCTCTTCTTTTGAAATCTCATCCAGATACTGCTGCAGCCAAGCTACATCAAGCTCGACTTCCACGGCAGTAGAGACAAAAGATTTCATCTGTTTGATTGATGAAGAACCAACATCACCAGCTTTCAGCCTCTTTACGACATCACAAACTAGATCAAGAAGGGAAGCTCTGGAAGCCAATGATTTGTAGTGACAATTGACTGCAATATCACCATACTTGGCAAAAATGGCAGTCAATATGGGAGCACTGCTAACTTCTACTTTATAGCCATGCACATCCACCTTGACCCCTTTATTTCGGCGCCCTCCTTTTGGAGTTAAATTATCCTGCTTGGTCCTACAGCAACACAAAAAGAATACGTTGTTCAGCTCGAATTACATTCATTATTATGCAAATGGGGTCTAAATGTGATATTAATAACTTACGTTGTTAGAGGAGCCAGATCATCAGCTGCTTTCCCCTGCCAAATTTTAGAGCATAGAAAGGTGTTATGAAATAAATATTAAGTTTTCAGATATCTATCGATTCGTCACGCATGCTTTCTAGGTTCTCTCCCTCATCTAAACTTCTGCAGCAGTTCTCCATTCACAATGACACACTTGAACACTTTTAGAGACCAAAATGGTTGTCGTGCAGGGTGAAAATGACTCATTTAGAACCAGTTTGAGATTCAAACAAGGTAGAGTAAGAATAAGGGGTAGAACAAACACTCTACTTTACTTGAATTGACATTTTATTCCAAAACATTCACTTTAGTAAGCACTTACTGAAAGTAGGTTAATATTAATAACTGAAAGCCAGATCAAATTAATGATAACAGATGTTTACCTCTTCTGATAGCGAATTCTTACTATTACATTGTTCTTTAGAGGTTTTGGAAAAATTGATTTCTTTGGGGATTGAAAAGGCAGAGCCCATTTCCCGCACAATTTAATTTATGTATATAATAAGTCCAGAACTAAGTGGCAGAAATAAATTATCATATACTTAAATACACAATTTCTTAAATGAGTTCAGTCAATAAATGCTAACTGTTTGATTTACCTCAGCTCTTATATTTGATCTCCTTTCTGTACTTGTCCAAGCATCGGCATATCCTCCTTCTGCTTTATTCAAAAGAATAGGTTTCCAACCTCTTTTCTTTGAAGTTTGAGCAGCTTCTGGATCTACTGCTTCTTTGGCTGCTTCTGGTTCCTTTAACGATGAAACTGTCTCTAGAACAACATCATCGTTCTTATGTGCAGTATGTGGTGAAAGCTCTTGCAGAGCACTTTCCACCTGACAAGTGTGCAGTACAGGAAGAATTCACATCATTACTATAAATCCAGAACAAATATCACTTATTATCTGTGAAGTTACCTTTACTTATCATACCTTTATATCAACAATTAATCAGCAAAACAAGAGCTTCTGACTATCTCATAAAGGACCTTAAAGTTTTATCTTTCTCAAGCTAGTCTAAGAATGACTGAATGATTGGTGGAAAACTACATGTGTACACATTCCTGAGGTTGGAAAAGTAAAAAGAACTTAAGAGAAACGTGGGATCAAAGTTATAAAAAAAAATGTAGCACATTGTATAATGATTCATGATAAATTCTCGCAGCTGATACTACAGATTGCCTTCTAGGCATTAACAAGGAAAGTCCAAGTCATCTTATTTGAACGGTCAAACATGTCATTATTTTCTTTAGCGGAACTCATTGTTGACATCACGGATTACATTTTTCTTTCCTCATCTATTTTCTGAGTATTAAATTTCTTTCTTTTCCCACCTCATTTTCCTAAGATTCTTAGATCTTCAGTTTTTCATGATCGGCTGATTGCATGTTTATCTACTTCCATTTCTTAGTAAATTAGGCAGAAAAGGAGAAGCATAGAATTATACAACTAAACAATCATAGATTTTTTAAATAAATGCAGCAATTACTTTGAATATCAGATAGACCCACCGTAGCTTTAGTTTTAATCGCCTCCCTCCAGATTAATTCAACAACTTCTGAATAGTTGTTAAAGGAAATGCCAAGGTCCGTCACTGCCTTTTGAAGATATGGATAGAGTTTGACAGCACTTTCTTGAAGAACTTTCTCTCCCAGAACATAGGAACGAGGTGAAACATTCTAAACCAAAATAAGACGTCATTAAAAACAATGAGAAAGATATATAAATAAATAAACTTATAGAGGAAATGCAATACCTGATTTTCCTTCTTTACACTACTTATGAGGATGCTCACAAGGGTGTTCAGAAGCTGCATTGGAATATCTTCACTCTCTTTTATTATCATGGTCATTATTTCTTTGATGTTCATGAATACTTCATCAGGGTGATCCGGCCTTAAAATAGGGAAAGAGACAAAACAGTTGTCAGCCATTCCCCAGGAAAAAAAAATGGCAAACTGAGAAACTGGTAGTCTTTGAATGTTTTGAAGGAAAAATGAATCTGGTAGACTTTGACATGCTATGCACCATAGCATATAATTTCATTTATGCTACATTGAATATAAGAATAGCCACGGCGAATATACCACTCCTCCTGGTCTTTCAGCCATTACTTCCTTCCTTTTTTACTTTTCAAGTGTACCAACCTTATTTAAGATTGAAAGTTCCGTCTGGAGCAAACCCTTTGGGCCAACGCAACCTTCGGAACTTGGGGATGATGGGCCCTCTCCTCTATCCTTCTCTACTTAAATATTGGATTTAGTTCACTTGAGGAAGGACTCAAACATGTAACCTAAGACACAAGTCCCTCAACCGGTGCCTGTTGAGCTCATCCCTGGGGGCTTAACTCAATCCAACATTTGATCCACAAATACTAGCAAAGTTTTCAATTCCTCTTACCTTTAGGAAAATTATGAATGTATCATAATTGGAGGTATACCTTATACTAGTTAAAAAATATTGAAACATCTGAACAATCAATGCATCTAATTGGAGATCCAACATCAGCACGCACGTTTGGTACTTAGCAAGAACTTCAATAATTGAGACAGCCTTTGAATAACAGCGACCCTCCAAGCAAGACAATTTTCCAAATGCCAAAACTGCAAGCTTAAAAAAGTCCTGCCCGCCATTGAGCAAGAAACCAAACCAAGAGTACTTATAAATACTATTCATGCATCCAACAAAATCATATATGCATAACTACACTACAGAATCTGAACCATCAATTAAAAAGCAAAACAGCATAGTTAGAAGAGAGACTGGCAACACATCTGACTTCCAATTTTAATAAAGAAGACTGTGAGTTGTACTTGCCTCAAGTCTAGCATCATTATATGGTTGATCTGGAGCTGTAATTCTAATGATCTCACTCATGGAAGATGCAACTGATACCTTCACATCTATGTCAGGATGCCGTAGAACTCCATCTGTAACCAGTGCTTCCATTGCAGGCTGAATAGCATCTCGCACCGATGCTGGGGGAACTTGCTTCACCATTGTCAAAAGATGCTCCAAGTTCTGAATATTGCATACCAAAAAGAAGTGATTGAACATTGTCAAAAACATTGGAAATGTTTCTCTGGATAACAAAGAGATCTAGATCATAATTCATGAGATCTGTTAGAAATAAAGAATGATAAAGTTCTAAACAAAATCACAAGGTCAAATATCTCTCTCTCTCTCTCTCTCCACAGTTTTATGTTCTTTCATCCATCAGGAGGCCTGATTATGTCCTTTAAACAACAAGAAGTGAACAAACACGGCGAGATAATTGACTGCCAGATCAAGCAAATAAGCAATGTCACACGGGAAATCCCAATCTATGATAAAACCTATGTTGAAGCACAAGAAGAAAAGTTAGGCCAAGTTCTTTCAGAATAAACATGATTAAAGATGGATGGAATTGACTGATCTTTCTTCCCTAGTCATGTGCAAGGAACACGTTAATAATTGTAGATATCAAAACCCTATGAAAATCAACAAGGTTATGTACTTTTTGCTTATGACATTGAGGAAAGAACAAGATAAGATTCTCACATCAAGTTTCTTCAGAATCTCCTCTTTAGAAGATGGGGGTTGCTGAAGTAGCTCATTTCCAACTTTACGCAGCCCTTTGATGCATTTCTCCTCAGAAACAGGAGTAAGATCCATGGAAACCGTTTCCTTTGTTCAAAGCACTCAAATAACAAGAAGTAAACTGTAATCTGAAAACTAGGTTTTAAGATGCAAAAACCCTAAAGAAATTACAACATAGAAAAGGGGAAACCCACGATGCAGAAAGGCTCAAAAGTAACGCCAGTACTAGTATACAAAAGACAAGTAAGAGAGAGGCAGAGAGGAAAAGAGGGGAATGAAAAATGGGCGCCTACAGCGCAGGCAGCGCCAATCTGTAAACGATTTATTCAAAATCTCAACCTTTTGTGCTATTAAGGGAAAAAATTCAATATGTATGAGTAGGACTGAGGTTGGCCTGAATTTTCAGGTTTTCCCTCTTAAAATTGAGTTTCAAATAAAAGAATTTGCCAAAAAGGGTCTACTAATAAATGACCCGCTTAGATTACAGTAATCTGTATAGATTCACTTCTTCTCTGCCCTTTCTGTGTGCTTCTGCTATAAAAGTATTCGGCCAACATCTAAAGATCAAAAGAAATATAAAGGTGATAATAACAATAAGAAGCTCTCAGTCTCGAACTTTATTCGTTTTTATGTTGAAACTCAGATGAGTAATGTTTATGCTAGCAACTATATCAACCTTAAGGATATAATAGGGAAGTAATTAAAGCAGAAAATTATACTCCGTATTGTAAATCTATCTAGATAATCAGAAATATAAATACATTTGCAGCAGGTCTTGCAATAGATTATGTAGTTGAATGCAATGTTAGACAGTAAAACTGTTATAGCCTATTGAAATAATATCCGAGTATGTGAAATAAAGATTTGTTTTCTAAAAACGTAACAGGAATGGAAAAACAGATTACATCAAATTTGTTGCCACCAAGAACCTAGGGAGACCCACGTATTGAAAGGTTTAAAAAGGTAAGGGAATAAAGTCTTGGGTCCTGTTCAGAGACAAATCTAGTTGGACTGGTTTATTCAAAATCAGTGCTTTGAGAATGGATCCTGTCTGTATAAATTATAGAATTAAGACCCTTAGATATGATAAACTTACTGATAAGGATTGCAAATATATTATTCACGTGCAGTACACACAAGTTGATTTTCTTGTAAACAATGTTTTCATCACCTTAAAGGCTGCCCATTCAATGACCGTGTTGTTATCATCCTATGCTTCCTTGATATCTCAAGAACATCAGACTCTGCATCCTAAATCGTGTTATACATTTCTTTAAGGGCATACTATTGTGGAAACTGAACAGTATAGCATAAAACCTGAGGAAGGGATTCAGCTCCGTGGATTTGCACTTGAATAGACATATAGTACGCTGTAAAAATCAGTACACTTTGTAAAGATGTTATCAGACACAGGTGCAATGCCGGCTCTAACCTCGTAGCTACTGAGTATAGCATAGACATAGCATCTCCATATCTGGTTCAAAGAGCCCCAAGGACTAATCATCGGCCCTAGAGATCAGCAAATTATTAGAAATGATTATTCCAAACATAAGAGATCCTAACAGAAATGTGAAGGCAGCGAGCTAAGCAGATAGGTTAGACCTAATAAGCGGCAAATGAGTGTTTATATCAAATACAGATATACTAAACTCAGTAAGGTAAGAGAGAGAAAGTTAACTTTTAATTTACCTTACTAAACTCAGTAAGGTAAGAAATGGGAAAAGGCTCTCACATCATGTTTCTCCAGAAGCTCCTCCTTAGAAGATGGAGGCTGAAGCAGCTCACTGCCAACCTCAAGAAGTTTTTTGTTGCATTCCTCCTCAGACACAGAAGCACAAGCCAGGGAATCATTTCCTTTTTCCAGAGCAACGCAATTTAGAAAACAGGTTTTAAGTCTCAAAAACCGAAGAGAAATCACCTGAGGGCAAAGGGAAAAAACGGAAGTGTAGAGAAACCTAAAAGGTAACGCCAGTACTAGTTTGCAAAGGACAAGTAAGAGAGACGGAGAGAAAAACAGGTGATATGTGAAAAATGGAGCACATTCAGCACAGAGCACATCTGTCAATGAGTGAGTAGTTATTTTAGTGTTGTTAAGGAACAATTTTCAATGTGTGTGAATAGGACTGAGGTTGTCTTCACTGCCTGAATTTTCAGTTGCCATCTTAAAATTGAGTTTCAATTAAAGAAATTTGCCAGAAAGTATATACTAATAAATGCCCTGCTAAGATTGCAGTAATCTGTACAGTGGTGTAGATATTTACTTCTTCTCTGCCCTTTTTGTGTGCTTCGGCTATGAACAAATACCGCCAAAATCTAAAGATCAAAAGAACTATAAAATTGCTGATAGCAATAAGAAGCTCTCAATCTTGGACCTTATTTGTTTTTATGTTAAAACTCGGATTAGTAATGTTTATTCTAACAACTATCAACTATAGGATATAATAGGAAAGTAATAAAAGAAGAAAATTATACTCAGTATTGTAATCTATCTCAGTTATCAGAAATAGAAATACATTTCGATGTTAGTCCATGACACTAGAACTATTATAGCCTATTGAAAAAATAACCGAGTATACAAATCTTTATTATTATTTTTTTCCTTCTCAAAAAAGAAATAAAGATTTGTTTTTCTAAAAACATAACAGGAAACGGAAAACTGAAGAAATCAAATCTGTTGCCACCAAGAACCTAGGGGGTTAAGGAACTAAGTCTCAGGTTCTGTACAGAGACAAATCTAGTTAGGCTGGTTTAACGAAAATCACTGCTTTGAATTCGGAGCATGTATAAATTACAAAATTAAGATATGCATGTAATAAACTTAGGAGTCGTTTGGTAGAGTAACATACTAAATAGAGTGCATTAATGATGACTGATGCTTGCATTATAATGTTTGTACTAGTAATGCTTGCATTAACTGTACATAAATTATTTCTTAGGCATTGTTTGATTTGGTGTATTAAAAATAGCATTTATTTACAAAGATTTTGATGGAAAAGATGTAAAAAAATTGAGGGGTAATTGAGCCTTTAACCATGCTAATGCATGTATAAATCCCTTGTATTACTTGTACCTAGCTAGAAATCCATGGTATTAGTAATACACTCTTCAATACACAATAGAGTGTATAACATGAACAAAGACAAACTTGTATCTATAAGATTATTCAAAATGCTTGGAGAAGCCCAACTGCAGAAAATCGCATAGAATACCACACTCTAGATCACTTCTTCTTTAAATGCAGCGCAGAAAAGTAGAGATTACTTTCCTGAAGTTGAGAATAGAAAAGCACGAGTAAGTCACCTTTACACAAACGATATTAGCCCAACTTGTATGGACTATGGTCATGGTATCTTTACAAAAGTTATAGATTGGTTAATTTACCATCTCAATTTACATTTAAATCTAGGCTGATCCGTATAAGGTAAAATGTCTAAGGGGGAGATATGCATATGCCATTGCATCAGTACAAAGCTTCCAATTTCAGTGGTAAAGCTCTTAATGTGTACTGTGATAACAAGTAACAGGGCAGATATTCAAAGTACTTAACCATTGCACCTATACACAAAATCTTAAAACTTCACAAAAGTCTCAAATGTAAGAGTACGGAAACCTCAAATGATTTAAAATTCACACAAGCAAATATAATCTTAAGAATATATCAATCAAGAACCACACGGAGCAAATGTTTACCAACAAAAGATTCAATATTAGAGGGCCCAGGCAAAAGTTTTTGAGATATCTACTGATGGGTTCAGTTATTGAAGGGTATTAAAGCATATGTACAAACCTACATAGACTAGTTTTTTGCCTCTTTGGGCTAACATTCTAAATAGTTTTATAGTATAATCTTTTTGTAGCTTATCAGCTTCCTGCTATAGCATAGACAATTGTAATGAAGCTGATGACAGCATCTCTTTTGTATACTTAGCATCTTCTTGACCTTTGACAAACTAAGATAACAAGTCACCACATACATAGTAGCACCTTGTACCATACGCCCAAAAATTGTGTGATAATTGTTCGAATTAAGCTGTATCCAGGAAAACTGCATGACATACTTTACCCAGAAATCAGAATGCTCTATTGACATTGGAACTCTGTTAGTCGCCGCCATAATGATACTTAAAAGAGAGAGTCTGGGTATGCTGTCGTCAGGGGTGGATAGACTTTTGAAGAAAAATAGTCCTTCTCAACTGAGGGTTAGTTTTAGAGACATGGCTTAAGGGTTCATTTTCTAGATGGTTGGAGTATAATATGAAAAAAGATATTGTATTTTGCTTACCTTGAGTCATTTATAGTAGTGCATCCCCTGTCTTTAAATCCTGGGTTCGGCTCTGGCTCTCGTGGAACCCAAGCAGTGAATTTGAAGGATTTGAAGTGAAAGTGATATAATAGACAATATTTGTGACTCCTTCAACTGAGAGTATTAGTACAAGTAAGTCAACTCAATCTTCTCAACCAATTTAGAAAGAAATGGAAAAAATATGATGACAAACATGGAATCATTCATGAGTAAGTGATAATTACCTTCCCGTTCTTTAAATTTCAAGAAATATGATGAACATTTACAAGTTTCCACGTGATCTTTGTCCCTGCACAATGTAGAAAGTTACTAATAAAGAAATTTCAAGAATTGAAGTGAGTGTTGGTATCTTCAAACCCTAACAATGAATTGAGGCAGTACATAAGAGCAAAAGTGATGAATAATAATACAAATTTCCATAGTAAAGAACATGCACAATATAGAAACAGTACTAATAGAAATAAATAGTCCCATCATCAAAGTGAGGGGAGATATTGAAGAATCCAAGCAAGTGTTGCAAATGGTTTGAGAGCAAAAGCGGAAGTACTTTTTTTTTCTCTAGTCTCCGCACACAGCCTTTACATACCTTTTGGCTTCAAAATCTCAGGCAATACTTTCACTTTGAGACAATTTCAAATACTCTCTCTCTCCCATTTTATATGTCGATCCTTTTCTATACATAATTGGATCATAATATATGTTATTTTATGCTCTCTTCATTCGTTATTATTTGTCACGATTTCTATTTTTAAAATCAAACTTTAAGAATTTTGATCAACATATATTGATATGCAAAAAATTACAATTTATGGTACTTTTCATATAGTTTTTGAATATCTAATTTGTTTATTTAAAATATTAAATTAATATAATCTAATTTTATTTTAAAAAATTAGTCAATTTTGACTTTCGAAAAACGCAACATGAAAAATAAAAATAAACAGAAAGAGTAAAATTTATGCTTGATCATTTTTTTTTATTATACCCTTAATAGAATAGTTAACTGATCTTATCATTTGTTAATAAGTTATTTAAGAAAACATCAAATAAAAATAGAAAAAGAGACGGAGGGAGTATAATGATACTCCTCCTTTCTTTTGTCACTAAAAATATTTGTTCTAAAATATAGTAGTCAGTATATCTTTGGTCTTTTAACTTTGGCTTTTGCATTAATTATTCCAGAATTAATATATATATATATATATATATATATATATATATATATATTGAAAAAATTACATAAATTAATACATTTTAAAAAATAATTATTGATTTTAGCGATACTTTTTGTTTATTACCATTTATAGCAATGCTTTGTTAAATCTATAATATGTATTAAAAGTGAATTATGTATGCAATATATATGAATTATAATTGCTTTTTGAAATATATCATGTTTGTTTGGTAAAAAACTGTCACATTGTATTATAAGTGTATTAAAATGTGTGATAAATGTATTATTCATCATTAAAATTTGTATTATATGTGAATAATAAATTGTTCTTTGTAATATGTATTAAACTTGTATTATAAATGAATTAAAAGTGATCAAGTGAAAAAAAATATTATTGCTATAAATGGTAAATATTTTTTTATTATAGTATATTTATGTAAGTTTCCCTCATTATATATATATATATATATATATATATATATATATATATATATATAAGATTAAAGAATTACTATAAGAAAATATATTAGTTAAAAAATATACTTTATGACTCTCTTTGTTTATATTTATACTAGTGAAACTATTCGCGCTTCGCGCGATTATATGAAATATCTATAAGATAATAATATGAAATATATAATATTTAGGTCAGTATCGAATATATAGATAATATTTATATTTCTCCTCGTCCGCGATATCATAGACTTTTTTAAAACATATAAACTATATTTGTTTGTTTTGTATATGTATATATTAGAACAAAATATTCACCGTGGTGAAGTAAATGAAATAAGAGATAATATGTTGAAATAACAACACATTGTATTAGGTTGAAAATTGTAGATGTTTTAATTTTCTCTATCTTTTGTAGGAGTAGTGATGTTCTATCCAAACTCTGATTTAGTCAAAACAATATTGTTTTCTTTTATTTTATTATTACATTTGCTTATTATAATTTTTTATAACATTAATTGAATACTTATAGGATTTACGAAAAATGAAGCATATAAAGTCATGATTCATACTTAGTATTAAACTTTACAAGTAAGATGAAGAGACATGAGTTATAAATAATTCAAATGTATAATTTTATTAGCCACTAAATGTATTACTAATTATGTATTAATTTTATTTGTAAAATAAAAAAATAAAAATAAGGTGTGAAAAAATAAAAAATGAACAGAGAAAATATAATAATTGGTGACTACATAAAAATTATAAATACATTTCAAAGCAAAAGAACGACGATAGATTGTTACATGCGCAAAAAATGACATCATGAAAATAATAATATATTTTTCAATTACTTTTTATAAGTTATAATAAAAGTGCAACTAATCATCATAAATTTTGTTATTGTTAAAATGAAATAATTTTATTTATTTTTTTCATAACAAAGAGAAAATAGAATACTAAAGGATCAAATGATTAGCATTGATAATACAATACATTTAGCTAAATTATTTACATAAAATAAAATTTTAAAAACTCTAGCAAAAGTAACTAAGTTGCTAATAAATTTCAAAGTGAAAAAATAATCTCTAATTATGCTTCATTTTTTTTCCTTGTACCATCTTTCTTTGCAAAGGTATTCGCCATCATGTTT